ACCGAGCCCGATGTGCGTTTTTCTCCCTTTATCTTAGGTTTCATCCACTGACATGGACAACACAGTTTGGGCTTGAGCAACAACTTTGTCTCTTCGCTCGGGACGAAGTAATGACGTGGATGCACGGAAAAGGACATCCGTGGACGTTCGATTTGTCCTTCAGGACAAGCTGTGCGGCGAACATTGAGGGTGTGGTGAAACGTGCTGAGATTATGGCATGTAAAATCGAACGAGAAACGGTGGGTATACGTTATGTATCATATGCGAGTTCTTGTTCTGATCAGCTTGTCGTCGTACAGGCCCAATCGACCACAAATATGGGCGGTATACCAGTCATACAGACTGTTACCAACTTAATATCGACGGCTACGAATCCTGTGCAATTGATGAGGATGAGCGAGGTGTATCATCCGTGGTTCTAGGTTATTAAATGCTATCTGAATGCTGTCTTAACGATCGTTTATCTGCTGGTGCTTGACTGCTGTACTGGACGTTGATTGCTTTGCATACATGCACGTTGTACATTAGACATAACATATTTAGCGCTTGTAACAATGGCAGTTTTGTTTCTCTGACATTCGAGCAAAGCGTGCGAGAAGCGTCAAGTTTCCAGTGCAAAGCATATATTCATGTGAACTTCCCCTAACAGTGGTTCACGCGCGGACGCGCAAGTAACCTTCTGTTTGCCGGAAGGAATTGATATGATTCTCGCTCTCAAGCATCATCTACCAACAACAATTTCAGGTTCAAAAAAGAAAAGTTTTGTCAAAAAAAATACTCACCTCTTCCGCCATCAATGCGATGTCACTCCCTGGCCTATTATACATCATCGCATTGGCAAACATTAAATACACATCCCTCTGAAAATCTCTCGAGGTCCTGATAACTCCATCTTTGATTCTTGCTTTGATGGTCTTCAAGTCCATAGGTCGCTTGATGATATCATGGTAATCGGGCGCTTCGGTCGGTTTTATAGGATTATGGAAGATGTTACCGTTGCGGTGTTGTGAGATTTGAGAGTGTAGGAGGTATATGACAGCCTGGAAGCGCTTGTGAGGAATGGGTTGAGCTGGGCTTGTGTATTGGGCGGTGGAGTCAGATGGACCGGATTGAAGGGGTGTGGAGGGGCGTTGCTCGCTGCTTGTTGTGTCGCGTCGGGGAGGTGTGGTTACTGTGTGCTTTGGTTAGCGGGTGCTCGGTCCTTTTTGAGGGTACAAACCTTGTTCCTCCTCCCCTGGTGTAGGAGGTGAGCTCTCCTCACGTAAACGTTTCTTGTTGGGCTCTTCAGCACCTTCACCGTCGTCAACTTCCACTTCATCTACCTTGCGTTTGGCTACGCAAAACGAATTACCAATTTGATTTTGTTAAGCCCAATGTAAACACACCTTGTGAACTTGTTTCGGTATAAACAGACAAGTCCTGTTCCGCATCGACTTCCATGGATGTAAGTTCCTGCTCTGCTTCGATGTGGATGTGCTCGGTGTCATCTGCAGGGGACGCTTCCTCCTCTTCGACTTCGAGTATCTCTTCCTCATGGACAGGTGGTTCCTCCTCGTGTTCAGGCGACTGTTGGTTAGCTTCTTCCTCAACGGACCCCTCTGGGGCGCCAGGTGTCAGTATTGCCTCTATCTCACTTGCCTCATCGTCTGGGGACGTGGGCTGGTGCTCCCATTCAGACTGTTCTGTTTCCTCCTCATGGATTGAGGCTACGGGTTCATCTGGTTCGATTGGCTGCTCAATATTTTCATTCTCAGGCTCGTATTCCTCGGTTTGTGGCGGGTGAGGGGATTCTGTTTCCACAGTGACTGGTTCAGGGGCTTGATCAGGCTCAATGCTCTCGGGTTCCTGCGTAGGGACAGGTTCTTCTTCCTCTTCTTCTGGCTTGGGGGTAGGTTCACGTTCTTGCTCCTGGATCTGATGTGAGCCCTCGGGTTCCTGCACAATTAAGTTAGACTGAAGATGAAACAGCCAAAAATACGCACGACGGCTATTTCACCCTGTGTAGGTGCAGCATCGTTTTCTGCCTCGGGCTCAAATTCTGTCCCGGAGAGCTTGGCGTGAATCTTATCGTCCCATTTTCCAGCCCGAATATCCTGAATTTCTGCAACTATGGTTCTGGGCAGGGTTAATATGACGCAAACTGTACGGTTCGAGTACTCACTTGAACTTGACTTCCTCTGCTGCAATCAAATCACGCAACTCCAGGAGACGTGCACTATAGAACTTCTGGGCAAGCTTGAGATTGACAAGAGCTATATGCACTTTAAGCGATATTTTGAAGTGGTATTCGATTAGGGCTCACCATGTGGAGCAGATTCGGTGCTACATGGACATTCATGAGAACATATACAACTTGTGTTAGCGCGAGCATCTCACCACTCAAGCTGAGCATCACTCATCAGGCTGGCGTATATTTCGCGACAAGACTACAACAATGAAACTTGATCTGAGTACGCCATATGTAGCAAAAAGTTGAAACGGGCTGACATTAGCGGAAAAGAAGGTCTTTGGGCGAGAGATGATGGGATGCTTGGAGAGTAACTTTGAGACTTGCTGCCAAGCATTTGCGCCATACTCGTACACTGCTTGTGCGAGTAAAAGACATTCTACGTTGGTCAATGAACTCATGTCTACCCGAGCCTCGTCAGTGATCACAGTCGTGTCGAGTATCCGTGGGAATACTTTCGGCGAACCCGGACCTCAACACCGGCAATAACCAATTCTGGATTATGCAACAGGAAGACGTCAGCTCGATTTAAGACCGTTAACCGCTGGGAACTTCGCCCCGCCTCTCTCTCTTTACACCATGTTACTCTCCGCGTTCGCTACAACACTATGCCTCCTTCCTTTTGCTTCAGCTGGTGTTCACAAATTAAAGCTTAATAAGTTACCACAAGTATCACCAGGTCATGCACTAGAGACTGCCTACCTCGCGGAGAAGTATGGCGCAGCACCTTACCAACAGCTCCCTTTAATGGGTGCTGGCGGTGCTGGCCGCCACATTCGTCCGCCAACTGGTGAAGATGACCTCTTCTGGACCCAGGAGGTCATCAACGGTGGACACGATGTCCCCCTCACCAGTACGTGACTGTTCTTTCCTCTCTTGCTGTCATGCTCATATTTCTCAGACTTCATGAACGCTCAGTATTACACTGAGATCCTCATCGGTACGCCCCCTCAGTCATTCAAGGTTATCCTTGATACTGGGTAAGGAATTTTCCTTTTTTTTGTCGTGTCCTCAACATTCGCTCTCTTTTAAGGTCGAGTAACCTCTGGGTCCCCAGCTCCAAGTGCACATCTATTGCGTGCTTCCTTCACGCTAAATACGAGTCTAGCTCTTCCTCCACGCACAAGGCCAATGGATCTGAGTTCTCCATTCAGTATGGCACTGGCTCCATGGAGGGCTACGTCTCCTCAGACGTTCTCACTATCGGTGACCTCAATATCCGTAGCCAGGACTTTGCAGAGGCCACCAAAGAGCCTGGTCTCACTTTTGCCTTTGGCAAGTATGTGCAGGTCCCTTGAAAATATTGGTGAATTGTGGTTGACCCGCGAATTAGGTTCGACGGCATTCTCGGCCTTGCCTACGATACCATCTCTGTTAACCATATCACCCCTCCATTCTACAGCATGATCAACCAAGGTCTTATCGACGAGCCTGTCTTTGCCTTCCGCCTTGGTGAATCGGAAGCTGATGGTGGTGAGGCCACGTTTGGTGGTGTCGACCACGCCGCGTATACTGGTAGCATCGACTACGTCCCTCTCCGCCGCAAGGCATACTGGGAAGTCGAGCTTGAGAAGGTTGCATTTGGAAGCGATGTACTGGAGCTTGACATGACAGGCGCTGCTATTGACACCGGCAAGTCCCCTGTTAATCTGATTTGTTCCAATTTCTCACTAGATCGTACACAGGTACCTCCCTCATCGCCCTTCCCACTGACATTGCCGAAATGCTCAATACCCAAATTGGTGCCACCAAGTCTTGGAATGGCCAATATCAAGTGGACTGTGCTAAAGTCCCATCCCTTCCCGAGTTGAGCTTCTATTTCGGCGGCAAACCGTACCCACTCAAGGGAAGCGACTACGTATTGGAAGTTCAGGGCACGTGTATTTCGTCGTTCACCGGTATGGATATCAACCTGCCTGGAGGTTCATTATGGATCATTGGTACGTGATTATATATATATCACCAACTTCCTTCTCATAAATGCCTTCAGGCGATGTGTTCCTCCGCCGTTACTACACGGTTTACGACCTCGGCCGGGACGCTGTTGGGTTCGCCAAGGCTGTATGAAGGGTTGCTACGCAATCTCATCCTATACCGGTGATGGATGCATGCATGTCTTCTGCACGGTTTGAAAAACTTCAATTATGAGTGCCTGGGTTATCCACATGTGTCATTACCTGCTATTGTGATACTCTCCTGTAGAGTTGTAATATGTTAATCCGATACAATGCTACTATTACCTGATCCGTACGTGATGCACAACGTACTTGAGCTTGAGAGCTCACAACTCTACATATATTTCATTCGGAACAGCTGGAGAACAAGTATCGGGCGTGCAAGTGTACCCAAAATGAGTGATTTTTGGACACTAAAATTAAGATCCGTCCATGGGATCCCATCACCGCGCGTAGGAACTTCAACATATATAAAATACATCAAGAGCACCACAGCTGTTCAAACAGTCAGGCTAATTGGGAAACCGTGATATAGCGTTAGCGTGAGCTGCGTGACGAATTTGTTTCGACCTCGCTGCTGCCGCTGCAACAAACTCGCAACAAATTTAAAAAAATCTTGTTGGGCCCAATGCACAGAGACATAAGGTATATCCTAAACTAGATCCGATACGAATATTGTTAAACATCGAATGATAGTTGAATCTTTATTCGCAAGACTTGATCCATGCCAGTGATACAAAGCTAAATTAGGTGACATGACATAATTACAGGAGCATGCGCAAATAGCGCAATGTACGCACATGGGCGCGACATCATGATATGTATCTATCATCTTAGTATTTACCAGTAAATTTCCTTGTAATCATCGATCATGGACGACGCCGACGACCTTGACAACTTACATCTACGATCTCCTTCGTCGCTTCACACACCCTCCACATTGAAATATGCAACAATGAATCGTTTAAAGCATGCGCGAGTGGCGCGCGCACTAAGCGGAAGGCTAGATAGGGTCAGCGTGCTTGGAGGGGAAGACTGGGGACATACTGGGTGCGTCACTTTACTTGACAGGTTTTGTTCATTGTCCAACCCCGATCGCTGGTGACTGGATGGTGGATTGCTTTGGGCCTAGTCTCAGAGGTCATACCTGTTCTTATGATTGTTCTCGCATTACTACGTAGCTGCGTTAATGCGGTCAGCTGGGCACAAGGTGGAGAGTTGTTAATTACCAGTGGGGATGATACCAAGTGCGTGTGCTCAATAAGTCCTCAACCCGGATGGCTGACTTCGATATGTTCTGTGTAATATCATCATAGGGTTCGAGTCTGGCGGATGGACCCATCAGGCTCTACTGGTGCGAACGCATCAAATGCTGAAAGTCAGAAAGAGTATCCATTCGCGTGCCAGAGTGTAATCGACACAGGTCATACACAGAATGTCTTCAATGCACAGATGCTTCCGTTTTCGACCAGGATGTAAGTCTTTACTGCGTTCACTTTCGATATGATGATAACTATGTTGGTAGCGCAACCGTTTCCGGAGATCGGCAAGTCCGTGTGTTCGACGTGGGTGAGGTGGTGGGACAGTCGCCTACGGGAAGCGAAATGGAATATACCACGCGGGAGTCGTGTATTCGCGTGTTGCGCTGCCACACTGGACGCACGAAGCGCATCATCACTGAGGACAGCCCTGATCTATTCCTTACCGTGGCCGAGGTAGCGTGTGTTCTAGTTGGGTTCCAATCTGTATTGACTAGATAATCAGGATGGTCAAGTACGTCAACACGATTTGCGTACATCACATTCATGCACGTCGGGCGCGTGCCCTGCACCGCTGGTGACGCTTCCGCATGAGCTTTCAACAATTGCGCTTTCACCGCTCACACCGTATCAGTTCGTTGTTGGCGGTGAATCGCCATATGTGCGTGTTGGTCATTTGATGTTTTCTCCTTGTCGTGCCTGGGAAATATCATCGCCTTAGTGGTGATACTCTCTCGTTTACTGTTTCCCTTGCTTAGCCTTGTGAGAGTCACTATTCTCACAATCGTGATCCTTAGGCACACTTGTTCGACCGCAGGCATGCGGGGCGTTACTTGCATGCAGAGTGGGGCGTGCCTCCTGATGCAAATAGTGCAACGACATGCGTCAGGAGGTTTGGCCGTCGCTCACGTGCAAAGGCAGAAAGAGGGGGATTTGAACACATTACTGGCGCGCGGATGTCCGACTGGAATGGGCACGAGGTGAATTGTTTAATCTCGCTTTATGAAGGTTGGCTGAACGTCAAGGACAGGTCTTGTTATGTATGTACGTTTGCTTGACGATATGGCGTGAGGATTGATGCAGCCAACACTTCATAGCATATCACTTAGCCGGGGTATTTCTCTATTCGACGCGAGACGAGCCGGAAAGTTTCGAGGACCAGCGAGGTCCGCACTCGATCCTCGCGCCTAACGCGAAGCGGAGACGACTCAGCACGTCGAAATCGCCGTCTTCGCATGGTGAACCTTTAACTGGTCCAGACATGGAGATGATTGTCGAGGACCAACTGGAATCATTATTATTTGCAAACAATGTAACGGACAGCATTGATAACCTATCGCAAGAAGATGATGAAGATGGCGATGATGATGACGATGACGAGGATGATGACGACGAGGATGATGATGACGAGGATGACGATGACCGCCTGTTCACCCCCGAAGACGCGGACTCACATCAGGCTGTGCCCGTGGTATATCCGCGTACGCGGTTTACTGGGCACTGCAATATCGAAACAATCAAAGACGGTGCGATCTGGTTGATGTAGATGCATTGATTAGTGCTGAAGATCATATCCAGTGAATTTCCTAGGGTCTCATGACGAGTTCGTAACTTCAGGGTCAGACGATGGCAACTTCTTCATCTGGCGGAAGTCGACTGGAGAACTTGTCGACATTCTCGAAGGCGACCAACATGTGGTCAATGTGATCGAAAGCCACCCGCACCTGCCTCTGGTTGCTGTCAGTGGGATCGATACGACGGTCAAGGTGCGCATCCTGGATACTTCTATTATATGATATCTCATTTCTCGCAGTTATTTGCCCCAGCTCGTGGAGTGCCATCATTCTCGAGATGGAACAATGCTGAAACAATTAAAAAGAACAATGCAGCGCGTGCATCAAGGGCGAGTTTGAGTGGCAGTGCGGAGCTGCAATTTGCATATCTCGTCCTGAACTACCAACAGGCGCTACGGGGCACCCGAGGTGGAGGGGAGCAGTCAGAAGCACAGCTCACGCAGTGCATAAATCAATGAAAGATTTATCTATTGTATGTGTAGTATATATACAGTACTTACGAGTAATATTGGTTTCGGAGGTGGTGGACATATCACACGCATGGGGCCAAAGTCGTGGCTCGTTGATAACAAGTTCTGTAACATACAACCTTGAACTAGGAATACGTGGTAGCCTGGCTACATCTCAAGATACGACCATATCATTTGGCGTCTTTATCAAGTGAAAGTATTCATTTCCTGGCTTTTCGTCGCTCTGGCGTTTCAGATGTCACTTTGAATTGATGTTTGAGTCGTGTATGCTCGGGAGTGGATCATTAGGCCACTCTTGTTTGACTCACTGCCGCCGTGGCACCACACAAATCGGACGGAGTACTGGGAGCATACTTCATCACTTTTGATCAAGGCTTCCGCAGGACCTTTCAAAACTGAACCTATGGTCAATGGTATAACTGCGAACCTCTGCTGATTTGTTTTTCTCTTGTTATGTAAGTTCAATTATCTTACGCCCTGCACCCGAAAGGCTCCTGCTGACCCTTTGCTCTCTGTGCTCAATCACGCTGCCTACCGCTTTGTGGACGTTCATATCGTCTTTTTGCTTTCAGTGTTGCACTGTTGTCTCTCTGTGTGATCTGAGCGTTCGTTTGCATTCATTTTTGCCAAGCTGTTCAGTCTATCTTCCACCAACTGCAAGGGGACGTCCTTTTTCGCCCGTACAAAACAACACGTCACGTCTTTGCTTCTACCACCCGTCTCACCCACCTCTCAAGCGCTTCAACGCCGACATTTGAAAACTAACCATGCATCCTTCTCACACCAGATCGAGGCGCAAGCGTGGCAAAATCGACGACGTCGAGGACGACGGATCACCTCTGCATGTCTCACGGGTTGAAGACACCCAGTCTGAAGCTTATTCTCGCTCTCGTCCGCATTCTCATCAACAAACAGACTCCTACGTCCCTTTCGCATCCCGAAATTCCCTTGCTATGAGTTGGGAGCCTCCCTCATTCACTGAACCGCCGGCATCTGACCGTTTTCACTCCCGTTCGTCCGATGTTCATCATCGTGGTGGCAGAGATAATTACGACCTCCACGATGATGATCCACCGTGGTCCGTGCGTCCTAATCATGACTGGAACCACCAAAGTGGCAGGGAATGGGCAACGCACCAAGGTTCTTCAGAGCAACAAAATTGGGGGGCGTCTACTTCCTATACGGATAGAGGTCGCGGCCACGGGTGGCAACCGGACGACAGACGGGGGAAGGATGATCGGGGGGATAATCATCATCATCCTAATAATGACAACCATAATCACAATCGCCGTCGTAATAATCGAAAGTTTCAGCAGCGAGACAATGGCTGGGACACTCGCAGAGACAGGCAACCTCGAACCCAGGATGTGCAGGAGGAGCCACCCAAGGATGAACGGTCTTGGGAGCCTGGTCCCGGATGGCAAGCACGTGGCCCTGACCAAGGAGGCAAGCAAAATCGCAATCGCAATAACGGAAACAAGAACAAAAACAAGAAAAATCAGAATAAAAATCGTATTCGGATGGAGAAGGAGAGGGATAAAGAGCGGGAAAGAGAGCAGCGGCGACATGACGATGATGATGACCTGAACAAGTGCTTTGTGTTCGATATTGTGCTATCTCTCGCATTCTCATATTGTTTTGTTTACAGCTGGCAGAGACGAGAGTTCCATCCCTTACCTGCCAAACCTGTTCGCACCTCCCCTGTTAAACCGAAAATAGTACCCTCCAGATCACCCTCGCCTGCGGGGACACAATCACGTTCGCGCTCTCCTGATTCTTACTACTCTCATATGTCTTCGCGAGGTCGTTCGCACTCAAGGTCCTTGTCTCCAAGATCGCAGCAACATAGCTATAGTCCAGTTCGGCGGCGTAGTCGGACGCCCACCAACAGGGGACGAACTGGCAGGGAAGCTCAAAGCTGGAAGTCATATTCCCCTGGATCATCCGATCGTAGTTGGACCATGCGTAGAGGGCGTCGACACAGCCTTTCGTCGGCCTCGTCTGCAAGCCGAAGTAGAAGCAGAAGTTCAAGCTGGAGTATGGATGACCGGCCCAAACCTAAGCACCGTTTACCAACTGCAACTTCTATCAACGATATATCACTGTCTATATCACAGACTACCATTCAACAACCACGTGGTGGTCCTCTCCCCACCTCAAGGGACCCTGAATTGCGGCCCAATGGGAAGACAAGAACGAATGGAAAGCAGGGCAATGTAAGCATACCCAACATGACTCCAGAGAGGCGCTGATTATTTTGCAGCGACGTCGACATTTCTCGCCCGCTGCTGAGCAAATGCCTCCTCCAGCTAAGGTTCCGCGGATGTCTACGAAACATCATTTAGGCGATTCTCCCATCAGCTATCATCCATCAGCTGCATCCGGCTGGGCTGATCATGACTCTCCTAGAATTCGAAAGACCTCGAAAGCAGGATTTAGGCCCATTGGGGAGCCTAGCTCAGCGGTTAAATTGTTTTTCCCGCGTGATGAAGACGACGATGAAGCTGGTCCCGCCTCTCAACATAAATCCCCCGCCTCCCCTCAGATTCATTCAGAAGTCCCCGCGAAGCGTGCTCGCGATGAAGGTGTAACCGATCGAGCTGAAGATATGCGTGGAAGTATCCTCTCGCAGCCCTTGCCATTCCAACAAGTCCCTGGTCCACGCGAGCCCGTTACAAAGGCTCTTCCGGCTCCCCAGCCTATGCAGGTCCTGCCTTCAATTGTCCGTGACTCACTGAAAGCTTCCATTGTACCGAAGCCGGCAGGCAGTGGCGATGTTTCCGTCAGTCCTGCCCAACAGTCGCATACAGTGGAGCCAGACACGGAAGGGACGCCACGGCCGTCCTCTCCATCGGGGACGACCTGCAAGGACCTCTATGCCATTGTCTCTCAGGTTGGCGAAGGCACATTCGGCAAGGTTTATAAGGCTCGCAATGTCATCACCAATGTCCACGTGGCGCTCAAGCGAATCCGCATGGAAGCAGAAAAGGATGGCTTTCCAGTTACTGCGATGCGGGAAATCAAACTGCTGCAGTCCTTACGACATCAGAACGTCGTCCGCCTTTACGAGATGATGGTATCAAACGGTAATTATTCTGTGATCTATTACCCCCGAGTATACTGATTCCTTTTTCAAGGATCTGTGTACATGGTGTTTGAGTACATGGACCATGACCTTACAGGGGTTTTATCTCAGACACAATTCTCGTTTTCGGAGGCCAATCTGAAGTCACTGTGCAGCCAAATGCTCGCTGGGCTGGCATATCTGCACCGCAAAGGCGTCATCCACCGTGATATCAAGGGTTCCAACATTCTTATCAATAACCGAGGGGAACTGAAACTCGCCGACTTTGGTCTGGCGCGCTTTTACCAGAAACGCAGGCGAAGTGATTATACCAATCGCGTCATCACTTTATGGTATCGACCGCCAGAGTTGCTCTTCGGTGCTACGGTATATGGGCCGGAAGTTGATATGTGGAGTGCCGGGTAAGCTTCGCTCGTGCCTTCTCGCACCGCCCTTTGTTGATGGTATTGTCCAGCTGCATCATGCTGGAGCTTTTCACCAAGAAACCAGTGTTTCAGGGCAATGATGAAATCCATCAGTTGGATGTGATTTACCGAATTCTTGGAACTCCATCTACTGAGCGATGGCAAGGGCTCACCGCACTGCCATGGTATGAGTTGGTCAAGCCGAAAGATGTGATTCATGGTCATTTCCGCGACTTGTTCTCTCGGTGGGTCCATATGCAGATACATCCATGACATTCGATGAGCTCACTTTGATTTTAGATGGTTATCGCCCGCAGCCCTTGACTTAGCTGAGCGGCTTCTTGCTTATGATCCGACGCAGAGAGTTACTGCCCTTGAGGCTCTCGAGGCTCCCTATTTCAAGGAAGAGCAACCTCCACCTGAGTTGCCTGTTGAGTACGTTATGATTCATTTTCTGCCTTTCAAGTTGTTTAATCTTTCTTTCTTTCTGAATAGCCTGTCCACTTTAGAAGGTGAATGGCATGAGCTGGAGACCAAACGGGAGCGAGCCAAAAAGCGTCGCAAACTAGAAAACGGGCTCGTATAATGTCTCATCGGTATGGTTGATTATAATGTACTGGACAATATTGTATGCATGGCATCAACTACACATCGTAGTTTACAAGAATTGCAAACCATTTCATGCTGCAACCGCTGGTTGTTGCACAAAACCCTTCTCAGCCAGGTGTTGCACAATAGTCTCCACCTGCCAATCAAATTAGTTCAAGGATTATCTGAGGGGACTCCTTGAACGTACATTTGCCGCTGTCATGCGAATTTGCAAGTCCCACCGCTTGGTGAACGGAGCGCCAGTGTCTTCGTTTGTCTGCTCTACATCACCAAGGCCGCCTGCTTTGCCTTGAGCGTCATCTTCCTCTCTTGCTGCATCGAACCAGATGAGCTTGTCGACTTGATCAATCGACCCTTTCAGACGTCCTTGCTCTATCATTTTTCGTGCCATCGTCTCTGCGGCTCCAGGTGCTAGATCTAGGAGAGCACCGAGACCTCTGAAAGTGATGTTATTATAGATTTTTGAGCTAGCCAATAGGTTATGTTCCATAACCGCTCGATCAAGAACGGTGGACGGCCCCCTGCGAGTACTTGTCGACGGTTCAGCAGAGTCATCATCGTCAATAGTTGAGGCAAGCTGATCATTGGAAGAAATAGCAATCTTTGCTAATTGATGAGGGCGAAGGCGCTCCTCAAATGTTCTGATTTCAGCTGGGCGGAGGATGTGGTCGAGGAACATTTTAGACAGGATGTTGTATGAGGGTAGGTCAGCAGAACGCTCGTCTCTATACAGTGAAGCAAGCACGCGCGACCTGTTTGGACCAGCTGGGGCCAAGACCGCACAAGTCACTGCAGCCGACCTAGCGTTGTCAGTAGGATATAGATAACGCTAGATGTGACCTACAACATCTCCTTTCTTTCTTCTTCGTCGATCTCGGCAAGCCAGCTCAGCTCGTGATAGCGCATTGCAGCCTCGAGGAACTTGCGTGCATAGTCACTGATTCTGGCTTGGCAGAGCTTGAACTGAAGTTGTGTCTCTCGGTCTGATGTCGAATTGGAAAGGGAAGCGGCGCGATTGTAGTAAGTCTCCGCCTGGACAGAATCCTCATCTTCTAGGAGCAGCCTGACTATCCGAATATTCACGCGAAACTTTTCCTCGTCTGGTAGTGACCTGCCACAGGTTCATAGATGAGGGGGGCATAATGGACTACTCAGATGAGCGAGGCTCACCGAGAAGAGATTCCCATAAGGACACGGGCAGCTTCGCTCCATTCTTCTTCCGTTTCTAGTAAATCTGCGAGTTGAAAGCGTAAAGAGTTGACCTGGAGAAGATGTTATCGGGCCGCATCTTCAGGGGCAATCATGCAAACGCACCTGCTCTTCATAACTTACGATTCGTGGCTGAAGCGTGTTGAGAGTTTCCTTTACGATGCGTTTCCGCAGGTTGTGATCTGATATGCTTCCGGTACCGAGACATCTGACCAGTTCGGAGAGGACTTGTCTTCCGACGACAATGCCTACATCCTGGACGACCGTTTCCACTAGCGTATGGAGATCAGCAGCTATGAGAGACTGATCTTGACGAGTGAGAATCTCTGACACCAGAGATAGATATGCTGGCGCTTTGTCCTTCTGGTTGAGAGCTGCGAATTGTGTTAGTCTAGAGTCCATTATAGTTCCGTGTCAAAGTAGTGTCTAGGACGTGTTATCGCTCGAAATCATAAAAGGAAATAAATTTAATAATCCAGGGCGTTGCAGAGTGGCGGTGTCAGGTGCAGTCGAACTGGTACTGGCATCACGACCGGTTATTGATCATCATGCGGAACAGCCATGTCCGATTCAGTATGGATTTCCCTGGTAGGTTTTGCTTAGGGAATTTTTACTCGGCTCATGCTTTACCAGGTGTACCGTGGACAAGACTGGAGGGAAAGCTGTTTGAAGGAATGGTATGAATTTATCCAAAAGACTGTCATTTTGGAGCTACTCCGTGAACATACTCTCACTGTCCAAACCTATTGGCATGGCTCGAATAGAATTATCGACACGGTCGCCCTGACGATTTACACAGTCTTTCGTGTGATCCAATCTCAGGCTGTTCGCTCAGGTCCCGCTGAAAACTTACTCTCCTGTTCCTCCCATAGCCTCATGCTACATGCCGCATACTTATATCCGTTGTATCTGTTGTACTTGCTCACGCTTCTCCCGCAGGCTCCTTCGCTGCTAGCCAGCGACTTGAACTCTAACCTCTTAGACTGACCTCGGTTTTCAGAGAGCCAACTGCCAACCGTGATCAATAGCTTCTGTTCAGTGTACTCACTTTTCTGGACATCAGAACAATGTCTCACTTTGCTAGCCACCCGTACCATACCATGCCAACTATTCATTCCTCCCAGAATAATCATCCACCTCCTCTCAGCCCACCGGAGACCGATCAAGAATCTCTACCGGTTCAATTGCCACAGGCTTCTCTCGTCGCTGGCGCAGAGCTGGAACAGCTGGGGCATTCTGCTTTGAGTTTTCCTGAGCGTTCTAGATTCCAATCTCGCAGGACGTCCACTCTGCCGTACCAGAACTCGGGAGGAGTACGTGAAAACCGAGACCGAACCCCTTCACGGGCCTCAAAGTCCTTGATCGTTGTTCTTCCCCCATCAGACTTTCCTATGGATCGTGGTCAACTAGGCAACATGTTGTCCATGGGACCTCGTCACCGTTTATCTCAAGGGATCCTCATGCCCCTATTCCCTACGGTGGGTATCTGACTACCGAGTAATGAGTGTTCTAACTTTGGGATCAGATGTACGGGCAGCTCACTGCAATCGCACGGGAGTTCAATTTCCCGAGCACCGTAGGCTTGTGTCTCTACCATCATATCACTGAAAATGGTATCACCATGACGCCGCGCATCTCTGACGACGTCTGGCAGTACCTATGGGCGCATCTCATCGAGTCACGTAACGGCTCCCAACAACTATCCATCGGTGGTCGCGTAGAATTTGATATTGATCTCAACAAGGCCCGCTGGTTCGATGCCTGGCTTGCCGGCACACTGCGCGACGACACCATTGTTCCTGCTCCACAGTCCCATGCATCTATACTGCACTTACATGGAGATAGTAAGACTACATTTGCAGAGGAACACATTGCGAATGAAGACCGCTGGGAAAGTCAGACCAATCAATCGAACTCAAAGCCTACAGCTATCCGTCAGGCACCCAAGAAACTCTCCCTCGTCGATCGGCTAGATTCCACTGCGCTCCAGGATTCGTACAAAGCATCGCAGGCAGCTTCTCTACCTCTAAACCATGTTGCGCATCAACTGTCTCCCATCCCACAGTCTGCGGTTCCGCAGACGTCGAAAGCCGAGCTTCGTCGGCGTGTTAATTCATGGCGAGCGAGCGCATCCTTAGATCCTGCATCAATGACAGAGTCATACCAGCCCATCCCTGATGCTACATTGGGCGCTGCGGCGATTCAGCCTACGGATGAGTACCCCTTGGAGGTAGAGGCAGGAGCCCAAGAGCCCCTGAATTTGGCAGACTATGCCTGGACCGTCACATCCGCTGGGCCGCTTAGTCCGCCTCTGGATTCTCCATCGTCTTCCTACCGTCTTCCCTCTGTTCATCTTGATCGTCGCATGCAGGAATCTGTGCTGTTGACACCGATTACAGCAACTAGTTGGGGACCTCTGGATGATGATTGGCTTTCAGACGTGTCAAGCATGGATCGTTTACCTTCGCCTGACATTGGTAGACGTATGCTTGAGAGCGCACCCCTCACCCCCGCCACGGCCACTAGTTGGGGGCCTGCTGACGATTGGCGGTCAGATGTATCCAGTGTCGATCGCTTGCCGTCCCCAGACATTGCTCACCGAATACTGGAGGATGCTTTAGCGAGTCCAGCCTCTGAAGGTCCAGTTTCCAAGGTTAGAAACGTATCGCCTGCAGGGGAGTCATACAGCCCATGGGCGAGCATGTCTGCTTCATCGCCTTCATGGTTCGATGTTTCCAAGGTTAGAAACGTATCGCCTGCAGGGGAGTCATACAGCCCATGGGCGAGCATGTCTGCTTCATCGCCTTCATGGTTCGATGTTTCAAAAGTGGCGACACTTCCATCAACTACCTCTTATAATCCTTGGGCTGGAATGCCATGGGTTCAAGTTTGGCCTTGGTCCGAACTTGAGAGTGCGGAGTCTGGGCTTTCTTATAGCCCATGGGCCATCGTGCCTGCCATCCGAGCATGGCCTTGGTTCGATATTCACGCTTCCCAGGACAATGGAGACCTGGAGTTGCAGCGTAGCACCTCTTCAAATCCCTGGGTTGGCATGCCCTGGTTTAACGTTGGACCGTGGCATGAAGTTGACGGTGTACAGCCTAGAAATTCCACGGTCATCTCGCTCAGTCGACAAGGAGGGTTGAAATCTGAATATCCTAGTCTAGACATATGTGAGCCGTCATTGCTCGTGATTAATGAGTGATTGCTAACTTTTCAATAGACCCAGCTTCCTATCCTTATTTCGATATTTATCCTGCTTGCGAGGTGAACAGCGGCCTCGGCAGCGCTAGAGGTTATCCTATACTTGAAATTTGTGAGTTATCGTATTTGACTAGATTTTAGGGAGATGCTCAGCCCGAACAATAGATCCTGCAGTTTACCCTCATTTTAACTTATATCCTTCGATTGCATGCTCATTTATTACTTCTGCTGAAAAGACGGTCGCCTTTCAGCCAAAAAAATCTGTCATTGTAGAACTTGCTCCAGCTTACCCCCTATTTAATCTTTGTGAGTGGTCGTTGGCGTCACACTTTTTTCTAGGCTGATTGTTTTTAGACTCGCCTCTTTACCCGTATAACCTCAATTCGATCTATCCGGCACCGGCTGTCGAATTATCTTCATTTGTGATGCTCCCCAGTAGTTATCCGTGGTTGATTATATGTGAGTTATCTTGCGCCCTTTCTTGAACGGGGTCTAATGCGCGCTAGATCCTCCTGTTTACCCTCATGTGAACCCGTATCCACAAGCAAGTGCGGAGGTGGCTGGACCCCGGAGAGCAAAAGACGAAATTGCGCAGCCCGTTCAAGTAAAACTTCGCCCACAATATCCTGTTTTCGATATCTGTATGTGGAACAAGCGCGCGTTGATTACTGGTTTGTATCTCATTGTCCCCTAGATCCTGCAGGCTATCCGTGGAGCCTGAAAACAGTATATCCCCCAACCGAAGTCGAAGATGCCTCTGAAATCACTATCCGCTTGTCATCGCGCTATCCATGGCTGGACATCTGTGAGTCACCCAGTATTTTTCATAACGAGTCACCCTGACTGGCGCCTTAGATCCCTCGGTTTACCCTTTTGTTGAGCCATATCCGACGTTAAATAACACGTGCGAAAGCCCTATGAGCATATCTCAGACTCACTACAAGTCGGAATGTGTGAAAGTCACCTTAGCTAGGTATTACCCGTCATTCGATTTATGTAAGACCTCACCTTCACCCTCGAGTCTGATGTACTGAACCTTTCATTCTAGATCCTGCGGCATATCCACACTTTGACCTGTATCCTACCTTGCCAAAAATCAGGTCCGGAGGTTCGCAACAAGAGGCGTCTGCCAAGGTAAAGCAGGAGACTCAATTCGGTGAATAGTGATTCAGAATCTTTGCTCCTTTCAGGACATTGTCGATAGCGTATCAGTTGACCTTGCGGGCACTTATCCATACATTTGCCCTTGTGAGTTGGCTCAAGTGAAAGTGAGCAATTGCCCGATACTTAATTTGCTTCACATAGATCCTCCCGCTTATCCTCACTTTGACCTGTATCCACATGTTCAGATACATGCGTCCCGTTTCGAGAAGGATCTGACGACCAGCAAGTTCTTCGCTGCGAGTAGCACGTACCCCTTCTTGGTCATTTGTGAGTTCCACATTATGTCCTACCACTCGCTTTCTCATAAAGTACGCAGATCCTGCTGTGTATCCGCACTTCGATCTGTATCCCGCCCGTACGGCAGAGTTAGTGAGTCGGGAGGAAGATATGAGCGACGGCAAGTTCTACGTTCCAGAGTATCCCTTCCTTGTCGTTTGTGAGTTCTACATTTCATTTTTCTCAGTCATCTTCTCATAGCGCATGTAGATCCTCATGTATACCCTCACTTCAATTTGTATCCCGCCCGCGCGGCAGAATTAGCGAGTCGGGAGGAGGATATAACCAACAACGAGCTTTTCGTTTCGAGTAGCACGTATCCCTTCTTGGTCATTTGTGAGTTCCACATTATGTCCTACTACTCGCTTTCTCAGAGTACGTAGACCCTGCTGTGTACCCGCACTTCGATCTGTATCCCGCCTATGCAGCAGAATTGGCGAGTCGGGAGGCGGACATGACTAACAGCAAGCCTTCCGTTTCGAGTAGCACGTACCCCTTCTCGGTCATTTGTGAGTTCTACATTATGTCCTCTTACTCGCTTTCTCACAAAGTACGCAGATCCTGCTGTATATCCTCACTTCGATCTGTATCCCGCCCGTGCGGCAGAATTAGCAAGTCAGGAGGAAGATACGACCAGCGACAAGTTCCCCGTTCTAGAGTATCCCTTCCTTGTCATCTGTGAGTTTTACATTATGTCCTCTTACTCGCTTTCTCATAAAGTACGCAGATCCTGCTGTATATCCTCACTTTGATCTGTATCCCGCCCGTGCGGCAGAATTAGCAAGTCTGGAGGAAGATACGACCAGCGACAAGTGCTCCGTTTCAGAGTATCCCTTCCTTGTTATTTGTGAGTTCTACATTCAAGTTTCTTAGCCATCTTATAGTGTACGTAGACCCTGCTGTGTACCCGCACTTCGATCTGTATCCTGCCCGCGCGGCAGAACCAGTGAGTCGGGAGGAGGACATTACCAACAATAAACTTTTCATTTCGAGCAGCACGTACCCCTTCTTGGTCATTTGTGAGTTTACATTATGTCCTCTTACTTGCTTTCTCACGGAGTACGTAGATCCTGCTGTGTACCCCCACTTCGATTTGTATCCCACCCGTGCGGCAGAATTAACGAGTCGGGAGGAGGATATGACCAATGGCAAGTTCTCTGTTCCAGCGTATCCCTTCCTTGTCGTTTGTGAGTTCCACATTCAGTTTTTCTTAGCCATCTTCTCATAGTGTATGTAGATCCTGCCGTGTATCCGCACTTCGATCTGTATCCCGCCCGCGCGGCAGAATTAGCGAGTCGGGAGGCGGACATAACTAACAGCAAGCCCTCCGTTTCGAGTAGCACGTACCCCTTCTTGGTCATTTGTGAGTTTTACATCGTGTTTTTCTCCCTTCTCTTCTCACAGAGCATGTAGATCCTCATGTATATCCTCACTTCAATCTGTATCCCACTCGCGCTGCAGAACTAGTGACCCGGGAAGAATCCAACATTCTTCATGTGCATGTGACTGCTAGTCCATATCCCTATCTCGTGATCTGTATGTCCTTCAATTATGCTGCAAATGCTACCCATACTGAATTAGCAGCAGATCCGTCTGTGTATCCCCACTTCGATCTTTATCCTGGTGTCCTCTCGATAGTTGATGCTCCTGCTGCAAGCGGAAAATCAACTGTTAGAATGGACCACGGGTACCCAGTCTTGAATATCTGTGAGTATGCGTGCCCACTCTCTTTCTGGCTTACTTAAATTATGATTTCAGACCCTGCTGTCTACCCGCACTTGGATATTTACCCCGCGCTTGGAAAGGTAGCGCAGCCATCTCAGAAGGCGACTAATATGTCAGTGCGCCCGTTATCTGCGAAAAGGCGCAGGAAGACACACGCCGAACTGCACACCGAGGTGGCACAGTCACCTGGATTCCTTGTGGCTAGGAAAAAGTCTACAAAAACACACCATCAGCTACATGTAGAGGTTTTTGTCAACGGAGTCACTTGGACACCTAGCGGATATGTGCAAGACCTAGCACTTCCTGACAGACCACACGAAGACTCCAATCGTAGCTTGCGGCGTCGAATGCCCTCTGTGCACGAAATAATACCTCGACTGCCACATTCCCACTCGGTATCCCTCTCTAACCAGCAATTGCCGACTAGTTCATCGCTTCGAGAGAGACAACAGCATGTGTTGCAGAACGCTCCGCCCATCCCCCCTCTCCGCATCAGCAGTCCAGGGGTGCCAGCTGCGTCGGAGGTCCCAATTCCTGTATCACCACCTGCATCACCTCCTTCACGGTTGTCACAGGCCGTGAGATCCTTTAGATCGTCGATCATGCAGGGGCGCAATTTGACATCGACCTCAGATAACCACAACGAGAGGGCGAAATCTCCCACAAGGTCTATGTTCACTTCCTTTGATCGACGCAGCTCTATGATTCCACCACTATCTCCTCATGATCCATCAGACCGCTTGGGACGCAGTCGGGTTCAACAGGGCCTTGTTTTGCAGAGGGCTAGGGCATATGAACAATCGACTTGTATGTCATTTTCTTGCTACGTTTGAAATCAAATCTGACCATCGAATTCAAAGCTTCATCCAGGGATCATTCTCACAGCGTGAAAGACACGCAATTACCATTGTCCTCACTGCTTCCCATTCCTGATTTTCCCCATGCAATAGATCTGAGTTTGAAGGCTGACATGGACAGGTCAAGTCTGTTAAAGAACGCCACTCCTTCAACCTCGTCTTGAATTGTACATGTGTTTGTTGTATTTCTACAAATTAATCGATTCATATAATAATACTTGACCGTTGGTCTGCGTAAATACGAACATGTTAGATCGGCAGGGGTTGAAACGATCAGTCACGATACGGGGGAGGTTCATCTACCACAGGGTCAGGTGATGACAAAACATGACCACTGCCTGGCATTTCTGCATTGGAGGGCGGTGGAGAAGGGGATATAGTTCCTTCGCCGTCCACACTCTGACGGTGAAGGGCTCGAACTTCGCGATTGTGGCGATCGCGCTGATCACGAAGCATCTTGGTTTTGCGGTCGTCCATGAAAGCCAGTAGAGCCTGTGATTTGATGAGGGCTGGATAACATAATACCTAGTTGTTCCAGTGACGTACATTTCGTTTGACAGCTTCAGTGGCAGCCTTCGCTTCAGCCGCACTTGTTTGAGACCTGGCTGATTTTTTCTCAGCTAGTTCTATAGTCTCTTGTAATATTTGAGCGCCAAGGCGTAGTTCTTCGCTTTTGCGCTCATTCCAGACGTAGAGGGGCTGAAATTCCTTGACCTGCAAGGAACTCGAGATAAAGCGGTGTTAGCACGGTACTGACAGGGAAGACATACCTCCGGACGAAACCCCATCTGTCCTCTCGAGATCAGATAGGTACGTACAAAAGTTGGTTCGGTCAAACGCACCTCAATTGCATACTCTAGCGCACCCTTAGTTTCAATCAGGTGCCGTCTGATCGTATCATTTGTCGACTTGAACTGCCGGAATTTGGGGTTTTCAGGCTCTCGTAACAGATTCTCAGAGATCTTTGATAATATCTTGCGAGAAGCTCGTTATCGATAGGCTGTTCCTTTATGATAATTGATGCATCCACTGCATACCTTCAAGGAAGCCATCGCCGCTTCATGGGAATTAGGCCTCAAGATTCCGGGGTCTATCAGACGTCGAAACTTCTGCCGCTGCTCATGCTGTCGAAGGAGTTCAAAACCAGAAACTGCTGGTCCTGTCGTGGCACTGCGTCGTTGGGCTGCTGCAGCAAGAAACTCCGGGTCAGGTGGTGAATTAGTCTCTGAAGACATCCTAGTCGATGTGGTTGGAAGCCAAGCGCAACTGGAATTTTCCCGTGACCTCTACTTCATATTTACACACACTGATAGTATTCGGCTCAGATCATCTAAGAATATGGTCAGTGCAGGACTAATGTTATCTATAGTAAAGAAAGTATCGAAGCGTTAGGTAGTGACAGTGGACAGTCTGAATCGTCTCGTGATTCTCGTTGTGCACACAGAACCTCAAAACTCTCGCGATAATCGACCCCCTCTGAAACATACCACCGTTCTTGAAGGTTGAACGTTTCTGAATATGCCGCTGTGGGGTGCTATTGTCATAGTGTGCGTGGGGTATGCACTTGTAGTTGAATAGGGGGTCAATATGGCAGTTGGCCAAGTTTCGGTAAGCGCTAGAAGGTCAATCGACTCCTTGCTTGAGAGCACGCTACACACTAAGTCACAAACAGAAGATGATATAATTGCTGAAAGTGTTGAGATGCGAAGCACATATGTTTAATCAGACGTGGCCCGTGCGGCAGTGAGAGTTGTACGCGAGCGGAACTTACCGAAATATATTGGTGTCCAAAGAGTATGTGGAGAGTAAAAATACATAATGAAAGTCATAGCTACAGTTGGTATACAATAGGAACACTAGCTCAGTCTTGATCCATTCCTTCTTCATCTGAAACCGCATCTTCATTCAATTCAGTATTCAAGTAAAGAGCGGACTGTGGTGGGAGGTGATCCAATTCATCATCCGATGAACTTTCACTACTCCAGGCAAATTCTGATGCATTTACACTCAAACTCCTCCCGCTGGATTTGGAAGGTCTATGAGAACCTGAGAATGGTATCGACACCGATCCTGGCCCAAGTCTTCTGAAGAATGTAGACGAGTTAGAAGTGTTTTGCCTTGGTTCATTAGCAGATGGTTCTGGCGTGGCTGTACGCGGGCTTGCAGATGAGTTTCCAGCTCCACTGTCGTCGTTGCGATCGAGGAGTTCAGAAGCCCACTTGCGACGCAGCACAGGAGAACGTAAAGGGTCGGTAATATTGTTATAGTTGTTCTCATACGGTGTACTCGTCTCAGATTCGCGTGGAGCACCAGCTGTAGGGCGACCACGGCGGAAGTACCAAGCCGTGCCATTGTCTTTGAATGCACGTTCGGTGTCCGAGTCCAATGGTATTGGCGACTCGGACCTTATACGAAGCCGAGAGCCGGTAACGGGCTCGGGAACGGCCTGACCGTTGACAACAATATTTCGGGTGTCACCGGGATTTGTACGGGACCGAATTTGGTCCATTGCTATGCGGACTGCCTGTCGACCCATGAGAATCTCATTTTCTATGCGAAACCGATTTTCGATCATATGCAACTGAAGTCAACAATGAGCAAATGAGTGACACGGAGCGCCAGTAGCTCCGACCTTAGGCCACGTTGCAATTTGCCCGACTTTTATCATTCGTTCGAGCTCGACCGAGTCTGGGTCGCTCAAGATATGTAACCAATCCTATCATTCAATCAGCCATCAGCGTCATATTTAGAGAATGCTGTGTGGAATACACACCAAAATTCGCGTCCTCGGCCAGATTCTGAAGCCGAGTATGAGTATTATCAGATGGTCAGGTGATTGGTACATACGTGACAGCCCCATCAAAACGTTGCAGAAAGACACTAGACCAGTCCTGTCCAAGCAACTGCGGAAGAAGCTCGAGATCACGAATCACCTGGTCGGAATGGTTTACTTAGAATCTACCGGCACGATCAAATAAGCATTTACCTTGAAATTCTTTGTTAGCTCTAGTTTCAGCCACTGTTCCGCCGCAGACAGAAGAAAATTGCCTCGCCACCCTGTAAACGCATGAAGCACTGACTATAAAAAATGAGATATTCATCCCATACCCTTTCCTTTCCTGTGAGCTACCGGTTTTCCTGCCGACCCACGAGGCGCAAAGAAGAATAAATGGACATGGGGGTTCACTTGCGACACAACCGGATGAGTAACTGGAATCATAATCAGCCGGTCATGATCGTCCGACAACAACGATCTTACCATTGAAGTACATTTTGAGAGCTTGAAGAGGAATATCAACCCTGGTTGATGTCAGAGACGTATGAAAATATTTGGGCAGATCATGCCTGCTTACCTTAAAGACCCGTCCTTGAACTTGCTACCCCAATTCCATGGCACTACGCGGCCATCGTGGAGCTTTTGCATGAGCACAACCGGGTTGAGAATCCCGGGTACAGCTGCTGAAGCGAGTAGGGCCGTCCAAATGATCGTATCTGGCGCAGTCATGTAATTCAGGAGCTTCGTGGGACTAAAATGAATGTCAGTTATTTTAGACTCAAGGCCCACATGACGAGCTTACGCGTGGCGATCAGCAGGGACAACAGAAATGTTGAGAATTCGCCCGGTCCGTAGATAGGCTTCTCGAAAGGTCATGGAACCTCTTGTAAAGAATGTGCACTATAAAAAAACAAATCAAAAAAGTAACATCGGTTGAGTATGCCTGCCGACTTTACGAGCCCACACAACACTGTCAAATCTTGCACCGGTAGCCCAAAAATGCTTTATCCATACAGTAAAGGAGTCTTCACATGCCGTCAGTTTTTGGGCGAGTTCCGGAACAAGAAGAGTCTTCAGTTCCGCGTCTGTACGTGTGCATACCAGAGCGGCAACGAGACCACCAGCAGATGTTCCGGCAATAACTCGGGGAAGCAGCCCTGCATCTAGGAAAGCCTTCACTACACCAAAATGGTCTAGAAGAGCGAGTCAAATGTCAATTGCGTAGAGTAGGTTTCGACTTACAATACCCAAAAGACGCACCACCTGAGAGACACAAGGCAGATGCTCCCAGATTAGTACTAGCATTTTTGAAGAATTTCCTCTTCTCTTCAATAGAAAGCTCCGAGGACTCTCGAACGAATTGTAGTGAGCTTTGCAACTCCGTATGGTACGCTATTAAAAGGGAATTAGACCGAATGAGATATATCCTGGTAGAAACTGACATTCGATTAAGTCCTTGGTACCCAAGAAAGTCTGGTATCTCAAAGATGCGGATTAGGCTCCTACTTCAGGGATAAAATGCTTACTTCACTATAAAGCCTAAAAGAATCATGAATGGGAGTGGGATTGAGCAATATAAAAAAACTCACCTGGAAGACTCGACTCCTACAAAATTGCTTCGGATACACGTCTCTAATACACCGAGAACGCCGCGAACATCCTTCTTCTCTCTCAAAATCTTCAACGACCGATTCACCTGACAAGTGTCGCTTTAAGCTACTGTGTTTGATGTACGGAACTTTCTTCACCTTGCGCAGAAGTTTCCAATCATAAAATGCATCCTCATCAACCTTTTTCCAGTCATTGAACATAAGGTATTTGTCGAGCATCATTGCCGTTTCCTTCCATTCCTAGAGTCGAAAGTGAGAGACTGATGCAAATGTCAAGATTCAAGACATGTGGCACACCTGATATGTGCGTGCACCACGAAGACGCTTTCGTAGAAGGCCCTTCTGTCCTCGCCCTTTGAAATTTGAATGAGCCACAAAGTGTCGGTACATTTAAGGTCAACTTGCATGCCAGCAACCATTCTTTGGTGTTCACAAGTTGTCTAATAAGGATGTAGAACCCAAATTGAGCCGCAATGAAGATAAATATCAGAAACTGGTATAAAATGAATATTGAGATAGCTCAAAATAGGGATTGATGCTTACAAGGAGTGGCCATCGGAGCACGAGAAACGACCACTCTTGCCTCCTGCCCGGAGACTTATCCCCCTTTCGTTTTCTGGCCACAATAAGCTCGGCAGGATCAATTAACCGAGAAATGAAGCTCCATACCTCTTCACCTTCAAGTTGATTGGAGCGAAATCGGAAAGAGCGGAGACCTTCCTCACTCGAGGGCTCTGTGGCACGGGAGAGCTGGGAACGGTATGTGGTGAAGCTGCTGATAGAGCATCATGACCATCTAGGTCGTCCGACTGTAGGGCGTCGATGAAAGCCTGTATGTGTCTGCAAAGGGTTTCCGTCAAAACTAGAACTGACAACCAGGGCAAAGGACCAACAATTCGTTCACGTAGCCTGAATCGAGTAAATCCGCTGGCACTTCCATCGGTCTTCTATTGCCAGCGGCGGTAAGTTGTGTGAAAGAGTCAGCGAACGGGGTCCAGGTCGTATACAGCGTACACACGGTGTGGTGCTATCTGAGCTGATAGACACGTGATTTGATTCAACTTCATCGCCTGCTCCAAGTGATTCCCTAAACTCGTTGTATACATACAAGTACTTTCTCAGTGTATCCTACCAGTTGAATATTTCCAGAAATTACCACAGCATACCCATTTACATGTTGTTCTGTCCGACATGTGCTAATCTGCTTGTAATATCCTCGGAAACAGGCTACAATAAATGGGCGTGCAATACGTGCGCATACGAGTTTCCGATCTCGAAGCAAGTGTGTATCTCGGATATTTATCATCACCGTACGGTCCTTCAATATTAGCGTCTAGATGACTTCACGCTCGCGTATGAAACGCAAGGTGGTAGATGATGTGCTTGGGGGGGAGGAGACTTGGCGTGATGCTGATTCTACTGCAGGTCAGCCCCTTGAGACTTGATGTAGGAATTTGGGATACTGACCTACGAACAACAGTCGCTTGTGACAAGTGTGGTCACCCACGCGCGTATTTCTATCAGCTACAGATTAGATCCGCAGATGAGCCTATGACGACGTGTGCGTTCAGCTTACCTCCTCTGGGATTGGACTTACGAAATGTGGGGATTGTTTTGCTTGTTGGGATCAGTTTACAGGTAAGTTTTACTAGTCAATTTGACCCTGACCTAGCCCGGTTGACTTAATGGTGCAGATGCGCCGGATGTGCCTACCAGTGGCGTGAAAACTAGTGGTTTCTCAAAATACATGATGCTCCTGATTCTAAATATTTCCGCCAAGCGGGTGCTTTAACTTGAGTGAAGGCTTCTCTAATTTCATGCGTGCACCCCAGATTCTAGTTGTCTCAGTTGCATTTTAAGAGTGACACGTTCGTTTGATCAATCTATGTTCCAACCGTCATGGGCTTTGATCGTCGCTACTCTTACTAGAGTGGGAAAATGTTATCATTTCGTTGCCGCCATGGATATCATTCCGTGCCCCGAACGACCGCAGCATTTTCTACTCCAGTTGGTAAGTTTGCTGTCTCCGCCCGCAGACCGCAGTACAGAGCCCTGATTGGTTCGGCATCATTCGCCTATCTGATCGCGCAATGGCAGAATCCGATTGCGGGAGATAAGATCGATAAGATTTCCCGGGTATTGACCGCCGGATACCGACTATTGCTAAGGTACTTCATGAATGAGGCTATTGTTCGTCCCCCAGACATCTCATGTGATCCTGATCATCTTTGACACTGCCCATCATATCCATATACTCCGCTTTTGGTTTCATGGAACCTTCTAAAGGTGTCCAAAGGTATATAAACCCATCTTACACTCACCCCTTCTGCACTCACTCACTCACTCCTACATACAATCATGGGTTTCCTCGACGCCTTCTCTTCTTCCCAGACTCAGTATGACAACGTTCGTTTCTCTATAACTTCATAAACAACACATCTTCAATGTCACATTTACAGTTCCAAAGCGATGATGCACCTCACCAAGCTACCTTGAGCCACGAACTCCTTGGCGGCGCCGTTGCGTTCGAAGTAAGCTCAGTCTTTCCCTCCCATAATCAGTTCTCATGTTGGATATCAGGCTGCAAAGGCTTACGAAGACCACTGTGCCAAGAATGGCAAGCCCCAAAGCCACGCTTTGGCTAAGGAACTTTTGTAGGTCGTACCAGACACATACCGTTTCGCATTGCTCATGTAGTATCTAGCGCCGGTTTCGCCGGAGCTGCCGTTGACCGCCTGGTCGAGACGAAGGGTGTATGTACTAAGTTATTGGATTTATACGCTCTGACAAAACACTGGAACAGGCTGACGCGTGGTCTGCGCACCAGAGACAGAGAGCTCAATCGCATGGTATGGATTTTATTTGTCGCAGTCGTGATCATTTTTGATGACAAGTTACTTGAAGCTCAAGAGCAGATCCAGGAAACATTCACCGAAGATGTTTACCGGGAGAACTACTAGATATACTACGTGTCAAATAACCTGTACTTGATACTTCAACCAAATAACCTGTATAGCCATGCAAGACATTTCAATTTCATGGACGAACCATTTCGTATATACAATGCTAGTGGGAATACATGCACAACAACCACAGATTCTCGATTGATCCATACTCTAAATGGCGAATAAAGCTATGCAGCCACGTCACGAACTTATTGCGCTTTTGTGAGCCACTTCTTCAAGCTCGTTTTACCCATCTTGTCGACTGCCCTTTTGACATCATCCCAGGTCAAAGCACTTCGATATCGAGCGAATCCTGGAGCGATGCTCGTAGATGAGGCAGCTACGCATATGAATATTTTTTCACCAATCAGGTGCTCGAACCCCTGGATTGTGTTGAACTTCAGCAGCTAAAAATAGGTCGATAAGAATTCTGAACGCACCCTCATCAGAACTTCCCGGGTACACCGGGACACGCCAATGCTTCCTCCTGCAACCTGGATCGGGGCCGCTGCCGAAGCACGGTATTGCTCACGGAAAGCGTCATAAAGCATTTCGAAGGTTACTGCGTCATGGCCAGCAGTATGAGCATGCACGGCAGCTATAAGAAGACAGATCGAGGGGTACGGCAATGCTGGTAGAGGGGTCAGCTGAGACCTTCATGCCAGGGGAAATAAATCAACGCACTGCTTAAGTGAGGGAATGGATCACGTATACGTTGTGCATGTACTGCTGATGAGAGCTGCGCAAAAGTGGGAAACGGAGACGAAGGAGCTAGTGCAGCGACAATACCAACCTATTCAATAGTCAGAAAAGCTCCCGAGTTAGCCACCCATGCTTCGCACCAAGATTCGTTGAAGGACCCTAATGTCGTGCGTAACAGCAACAGTTTCTTGAATTTGTTCGAGCACTTTCCGATCTGCGATAAAACTGTCGATAGCCAGAGTCCATAACGGCTCCCACTCTTCCTCGGGGGTTTCAATTCGGGCCCGTAACACTCGTTCTATAAGCTTCATCCAAAATGACAGCTCTATCGGAGCAGCGGTACGTAACATCCGCCCAGAGAACCTGCTCTTGACCCTTTTCTCCAAAAGGTTGATTGTATCTATCCTGGTACTTACCCCAATGACTGCAATGCCATTGTGTCCTTGACCGACTCTACAGCTTTGCGCAGTATCCAGTAAGCAGTAAAGGAGTGCCTGCCGAGCATGTAACGCGAAGAGGTCGAAGGCGTCTAAAATGACTACCACTGGCCGCGAAAGCGTGGTCAAGGCTGATACCAACGCGGGGAGATGGGACGGGGGAGGGATGTCGATGCTTGGGCCGGCGTCCAGGAAAGGATTGTCATCATCATCTTGGTCATCGTCATTATTAAGTTCACCGAGGTAGGTTTTGCCTGTTTGGAGAGAGAGCTGTCGCGCGATCTCTCGTAGTGCGAGGTGATCGTTTAGTTCGGTATGACCCGAAAGCTTGATGACAATCGGAGTCTGGTTCAGGGACGCGATAGCTCGATCTACAATCTTGAAACATTGGCTTTAATAGGTTAGACGACGGGAAGATGTGGGCAGCTTACAGCAGTCTTTCCGCTGCCACGTGGTCCTAGGACAAAACAACTATTGCCCTCCCCACGAGTGACAGTTCCTGCAAGCAGATCTTTTAGTTGTTGACAGGCTATCATGTTGGTAAGGCCAAGGCTAGCGTCCTCGTCGAATTCCATACTACATTTTTGTAGTTCCAATAGCATAGCGCGCTTCTGTAGACGGAGGCATATGCTGAGATGAGAGGGGAGATTACGAGGAATGCGGGAAGGTGACTGAGGTCTAGAAGCTGCAGGTTGATCTTTATTGGCAGACGTCGGCTGTAGCCTATCCCTACTCGTTGCATTCGGAAGTTGATTGATTTGTTGAGGTGAGGTCTTTGAAAGCAGGTCATTTTGAGGGGCTGAAGGACGGCTTGGCGATGGAACAGCTAGTTCTGGTACGTGATATGCAACACCCGTGTTTGTGGTAGGTGTCTTAGCAGGGGGTTGTCGCGTATTAGGCGCAGGTGAGGCCGTAAAAGCAAGCTTTGGGAATGATCTAGGCGTCGTAATTTCTACAAAATGCAGAAGGACGCGTCCAACTTGAGATCTGGGCGGAGGCGTTGTGCAATTGACCGGCAGTTTGGGGGGAGACAGATTCAGCTCGTCTGCGTCATCAGAGTTTTCAGGTTCTCCCTGCTTGTGAGAACTCGTTATCGAGTCGACGTTCTGTTTTCCATTCCTTTTTGAAGGTGACGAAGTGTCGGTCTTCTTGAGGGGTGACTGCCTGGCAGCCGGCTGTGTCATGCGGGTTCGTGAGGGGCGTGCAGATTGCACTGTCCCATCCAGTTGTGAATCAGCTTGGAAGCTTTTGCTACCCTGCTGGATAACTTTCTTCGGAGAGTTACTAGACTTGGACCGAGTTGATGGTGCAGCGAGTCCAGAATCGTTCTGTTGAATGTTGGCTCTGGTGACGCGCTTTGGAGGAGAAGCCTCAGTGACAGCGTCAGTGTCTTCACGCGTCTTGCGTTTAGGCATTTGTGATGATAGATTATTGAGATCAGGAGTAAGTAGCTTCAAGGCACTGTCACCGTAATTTAGAGTCTCAGAACGCGCCTTGTCACGCGTCTTGTGGTCACAAGTGGATGTGGACGGTGTCACACTTAGACTGGGCCCACTGTTTATGACTTTACTGTTGACCAACTCATGGGATTCACAGGGCAAGTTAGTTCAGCACTAGTTTGTCATGGTTATTCTGATACACGACCCAGGCTTGCTCGATGGATCAATGCACCTAGTACAGGTCTCGAACTCATCCGTGAAAATATAATGCGAAACCACCATGTTCGTCGCAACGAAACTGAATCCTCATCCCGGTTCGTTGATGCCGCTCGCAGGGTCAGCTCCGAGGAAGGTGGTTCTTGAGCGTGAAATCTTACCGCTCAACACTTGGTTCAATACCCGGCCTTCAAGTCCACTCAGAGCGCTCCATGTGCACTCTGACGATGAATGAGAATGTTTTCGTCCTTCTGGAGGATCCTGCAGCACCTACTCGTGCAGACATTGTAACGAGTGTTCAGAACTCCCAGACTACCGATGGACAGGTGTTCCCAGTCCCACCACACTACCGAACTACTTTTCTCACACTCCGTCCGCCCGGCGCATTAGAACAAGTTCTGCATCAGTTGAGAGCACGTTGGATCCCCGTCAGACAAACAGCCCCTGGTGCGCAAAGAAGTCAGGGCGGGCAGCAACTCTCTGTGGAAGGTTTTGTTTTTGCCATTGGCAATGATTGGCTCGTCCGTGTTGGTCATGTAGTCCTTGCTGGTGGTGCCGTCAAAGGTATGCTTCTTGAGGTGAGCAATCAACCTTTGTAGGTGGCAAATTAATTTTCGTCTATGACGATGAACAGGCCGAGTATCTCCCGTTACCGGTTCTTCATTCTCAAACTGCAGACGGAACCTCAGAGCTTTTATCTAACCTTCTCACATCCGTCCTCCCAAATATTCGAGAGGCTAAAACGGTGGCTGTCACCATTAGCGATTCTCAATGGGAAGAGGTACTTTGGGATCGTGAGGAAGAGGAGAGACAATTGTCACAGGAGAAAGCAGAACCAGAAGGAGATCCAGATAATATATATGTCTTTGGGGACGAGGGATTAACATCTGAGAAGAAGGGGGATTGGATAGGAGTTGATAGAGACCGTAGATCGGCTTTCTTGATTATCGGCGCACTAAAATCAGAGGGCATTTTGTAGTTTGCACATACTTCTGAAGAGTAGTTTACGCTACTGCCAGTGATGAAACCCTAGAAGTTCTTGGCGCTTATAGTAAGGCTGGTTCTTCACTAGTGCTGCGACTCGTATCACCCACTAAACGGCCTACTCATGTGCATGAACGTTTAAACCACCATAGGCACCTTCTTTCATTTGACCATGTTATGGCGGTTTCGAAATAGCTGGTATGCAAACGCCTGCGCCCGAAACTTGGCAAGGCACTCCTCCAGTCAGGTCCAGCCCCAGTCAACCGCGCTCCACTTTTATCAAAACCGCCAGCTAGAGCTCTATGCTTCAAAGGAAACAAACAGGCTGAGCCTCCGACAGCTCGTGAAACTGCTTTTGTGAAACTATTTCTTAACATACTCATGGCGTGATATCAGGTGTTCTTTGGGCGGTCTATGGACGAGGAGAAATTGATAAAGGTGAGCGCTTGAGGGGGCATAATTTTAACGCTAATGTTCAATCTCATTTGTTACAGAGCGCTAATTATGTCCGCACCGAGCTGCCTGTCCGCATCGCACACAGGCTAATGGACTTGCAAGCCCTTCCATATGTTGTGGTAACTCAGGAGGGCGTAGCTCGAGTCTATGAGGTTTGTTCCAATAACACTACTTCATAGCTTAATCCTGACCTCGGACAACTTTACACAGTTGTATTGGTCTGCATTTGAGAAGTCCGTAACTTGGTTTTGCACACTGCAGAATGCACTTTTTCTGACTCGTTTATAAGGTTTCGGCGCTACCCTCAAGTCACCACTTTGGAAGAGAATGAGGCCTTTTGTAAATTTCTCGAGAGTGTGCTAGACGAGCAGTAATGCACTATCTTTGGTCCACCGCGCTCCTGGTTCTGACAACTAATATACCAGTGCACCCGTCATACCAAGTCTGTCACTGGGACTTTCCCTTTCATCTCCGCACCTTTCACCAGATTCACTGGATGCATTCATGAGACGCATGCTCGTATCCCGAATCTCAAGGCGTGTTCTCGCCGAGCATCACCTTGCGCTTTCGAAGTCCCTTGGAACTAACAGCCTCAATCACCCCGAGGACCCACACGTTGGCATCATTTACACTGCGCTCAACCTAAGACATTCCATTGACAAGTGTGTCGCGCTCTTGCATGGCAGACCACACGATATAGTCGATGAAATTGGGGAGAGCGTGCCGAATCGCGGATGGCCGGAAGTGATTGTCGATGGTCATGTTGACACAAAATTTTCCTACATACGTGAACACCTCGAGTAAATCTTTTCACTTGCATCATGTTCAGTCTCACCCACGCCTCATTCTCTAGGTACATCATATTTGAACTTCTCAAAAACGTGCAGGTTCTCGGATCACATCTAAAAGAGCGGTTGACTGATGGCGTTCTAGGCAATGACCGCTACTAGACTGAATCACCGGAGTTCATCTAACCTTCCTCCTATACGAGCCACCATCGTTGTTGGCGAGAACGACGTTGGGGTGAGAATATCTGATCAAGGTTGGCACCCCTTTTCTCGCCTACAGATGAATGTGAAGACAATAGCTATAGGTGGTGGACTCTCATCAGCTCGGATCAAGTCACCCTCCGATCTCTTCTCTTTCTCTCACATTCGCAATGCAACACGCATGGATGACACGCGGCTGGGCGCACTACGCTCAGCTAGCTCGAGAGGCGTTAAAGCCACGGTTGCGGAGCAAATACGCCCATGGCGGACTGAACAGTCGAATGTGAATTCAAACGATAAAGATCCTGAACGTGAGGCTGGCATTGCGCCACATCCCAAAATCGGGCTGGGCCTGCCTATGAGCAACATATTTACAACGTGCGTGGTTCTTGGCCAGTGCCTTCATAACGGTTAACTGAGCTACCTTTATAGGTATTTCGGAGGCACCCTGGAGTTGGTTTCCCTGGATGGATGGGGTGAGTAAGCTTTGCCCGTCGCATTCGGGCCTCGTGTTGATTTCATGAAGGAACGGATGTCTATTTACGCTTGCCCAAGCTGGTAAGTTTTTTTTTTAAAGTCAGCAGGTATCAACATGTGACGCTGGGCCAAGGGCACGAACCTTGAGGGTATCGAATTATAAAGGGATATGAGTGTGTACAGGTGTGTACTCTGTCACAGGTGCTGTTCAACTTCCTGTGGCATCAAATAAACGCAGCTGGCGAAATTAATTCTACCTGATGTTACTATTTGCCGCATGTGCCTAACTTAGCGTATTTACAGTAGAACATGCTGTATCCAGATAGCCTAGCGTTGCCTCCCCAAATATTGACACCGCCTGCTCGCAATTGTACCTGTGACATCGCGATATAATATTAATCCCACTACTTGAAGTAGTGCCTCCGAGAGTTCGCACGAGTATGTAATAATACCTTGACATATGTGTCAGTGAGTGTCAAAGCTTGTTGCTGTGCATACATGACTGGCAACACTAGTCACCCTTCGACCTAGGGCGTTTATCTCTCTCTTCTCTTAACTCATCTTCGACTTTGTTCGATGTCCTTGACGTCCCTCTTTAGAGCACCAAACCTGGTTCACGATGAACAGTGATTCCTGCAACCCACCCCCGCCTTCGTACGAGCTCTCCCAGCAGGGCCATGACCGGAAGATCGTTGAGAAGAAACTCCAAGAGCTGCTTTTATCCAAAATTCCTATTCACGCCATTGAGGAAGAGCGCGATGAAGACGATAGTAAAGATTCTAAGGAACCAGAAGAGCAGAAGCAGAAACAGCCTTCAGGATTGTTCCAGACCTCAGTACAGCCGCTTCACATACAGAAGCGTACACTTCGAGGACCTCGCCCCCTTCCTCCAAGCCCAGCAGACGCCCAATATTCTCGCAGCAAACCAGCTGCCATTCAGCCAATTGGTCCTCTCAAAGAGGAACCAGAGCACGGGGAGTATCAAGAGGGTTTCTCGCCTCCTCCACCCTTCACAGCTGTAGGTCCTTCTTTTGAGGGACCTCCGTACGAATACTCGATGTATCATGTCAATGGCTCTGCGTCACAACCCAAACCGAACCATACTCCCTTCAATCCACCACCTGTTCGTCGTGGACAGCACCGTCCCTCTTCATCATATTCTCCCGCTGAGCCACGTACGGAGACTTCCTATCGACGCACTTCTCACGGCTCTTGTCTCGAGCCCTCTAACTCGAAGTATTTAATGCCTTCAGGAAAAAGCTCCAATGCCCGGCTGAATTTTAACCCATCAATTGCCTATGCGACCTCATCTAGTGCTATGTATGATTCTTGGGAGCATGCATCTGACTCGACGGCAGTTAATCCTGCTTCACTCTACTCGTATGCGATACATTTGCCATTTTGAACTTGGTCATCTGATTGATGGCGCAGCTCAGCGGTGTCATCCTATTTACATCCAGGGTCAGCTGTCAATCCAGGTCCGTCCCACATGTGAGTTGTCAACCTTCGGTCAAGTCCGAAACCTACCTTATGCATGTGATGTGAAAGTGGGACCAGGAACAGATTTTCAACGCCTCCTCGACCTTCTGCATCTTACGAATCGCTCACGCCTGCAAGCAGACCAGGATCTCCTGCTTTGCAATTCCATTCACCTTACGCACCTGTTTATTCGGCTTCTCAGCCGTCGCTTCCTCGGTATGCTCAACTCAAGCCAAACCAAGGGGGTCATGTTCGATGGACCTCAGAAGTTGATTTTAAAGACAGATACCCATGATATCTCATATCCTTTCCCTACTACTCACTCAACTGTACTACAAGGTCTCAGACGTCCCACACTCTCATTACCCCCATTATGATATCTTACTTCGTGTACATACGTTCCTCAGATGTAGCCCAAATAGTACGGAGTCTCTTGTCTTATTACTGCTATGAAATCACAACTCAAAAGTGCTCCTGCATATGAAATCACAACTTAAAGTTACCATCACAACCTAGAATCCTCTCTTGTCACGTTTTGCTGACCAGCCGATCAACATACTCTTAGAGATAGGTGACACGGTGGACCCTCACTGTCATGCAACGCTCGAGCAGTCAGTCGACAACTTCAAGCTCGTCAGGCTCAGGCAAACCAGCCGACTATGTTACTTTTGACCGTAGTGTCGCTGGTTTCTCGGATGATGCTGTTCACCGTGCAAAAGCCGCGCAGCTCAAGCTAGAGCATTTCTACAAGGTTGCTGTAGAAGCAGCTATCGAGCGGAATACCAGGTACATTTAGAATTGCCGGTCGACTTAGAAGAAGGCTCTGATGGGTTCGCAGGCGCGTTGAGCTTGAAAGGAAGCTGCAGATCGATATCATGACCTCCGAAGACAGGAAACATCGCCAACTACAACAACTGGGAAAGAAGGAGTCTACTTATCTTCGACTTCGGCGGACACGGTTAGGTTTGGACGACTTCAGAACAGTCAAGGTGATCGGGAAAGGTGCTTTCGGTGAGGTGGGTGGTTTTGTTAATTTGGTCGGTATGCACTATACGGTATCATTGCGTGCAGGTCAGGCTGGTCCAAAAAACTGATACCGGTAAAATTTATGCTATGAAGACGTTGAAGAAGGAGGAGATGCTGAAAAAGGACCAGGTAAGAGTTTTCTCGTTGTGACAGATGCAGGTGGCTGGAACTTTCTCCGCAGTTGGCCCACGTCCGTGCTGAGCGCGACGTTCTGGCCGAGTCCAACTCCCATTGGGTGGTCCAATTGTTTTATTCCTTCCAAGACCCACAGACGCTGTATCTTATCATGGAGTTTCTCCCTGGTGGGGATCTCATGACCATGCTCATTAAATATGATACATTCTCTGAGGACGTCACTCGATTCTACATCGCAGAATGTGTACTTGCCATCGACACTGTCCATAAGCTTGGCTTCATTCACAGGTTAGCATAGCCTTTCTTCACTTTACTAGTCTTATACGTTCTCGCAGGGATATTAAGCCAGACAACATCCTAATCGACAAGGATGGCCATATAAAACTGTCTGATTTCGGACTGTCGACTGGTTTTCACAAGCAGCATGATTCAAGTTATTACCAGCGGCTTTTGGACTCTTCTAACGGCGTGCAGTCACCGGCTGCCGCCGCCCGTAACAGTGTCATGGTCAATGCTATCCACTTGACTATGTCAAGCAAAGACCAAATCGCTACGTGGAAAGCCAACCGTCGGAAACTGGTAAGGACAGTGCTATGTGTCCACAGCAAACACTTATTTGATGACGTAACAAGGCTTATTCGACTGTTGGAACCCCTGATTACATTGCCCCCGAAATCTTTCAACAGAAGGGTTATGGCAATGAGTGTGATTGGTGGTCATTAGGTGCGATTATGTTCGAATGCCTCGTCGGATACCCTCCCTTCTGCTCCGAATCTACGCACGACACCTATCAAAAGATCATCCAATGGCAATACCACCTAGTGTTCCCGGATGATGTCCATCTAAGTCGAGAAGCTGAAGATTTGATCCGGCGGTATGATGTCCAAAATATAACTGCTGAATAGTCGTGCTTACATCTTCAGCAGACTCATCACATCTCAAGATCGGCGATTGAATATCGAACAGATCAAGAACCATCCGTTCTTCTATGGCGTGGAGTGGGACACGATACGCCTGATTGATGCACCTTTTGTGCCGCATCTTCGCTCGATCACGGATACGTCGTACTTCCCTACGGACGAGATTGATCAGGCACCAGCCGAAGCTCCTGTAGCAGACCTCGCCGATGCTCAAAAGGACCTCGCGTTCCTTGGGTATGACATCTATTCAGCCTTATCTTGTTGTCGGTTACTCATGTTTCGACAGATATACTTTCAAGCGATTCACGATCTCATCGCATGCTGTTTGATGTTGGACTATTTCTAACGGCCATGTAATATATATGCAAGTTGTATGCAAGGTTTGTATACATGTACGACTATACGAAGGACTCGTCGTAATTTCGATATGATATGTAGCTTGTGTGTCTTGAAGTCTGGCCTGTCAGAGTACGCAACCACTAGTAGCATGGATTCGAGCAGCAAGCACGGATTGGGTATCTCCGGAGTCCGAATAGGAGTTCCATTGAGTCGTTCTGTCCATAATCCTCACACCCCATCCACCAATCCAGATATTTTGCAAAGCTAGTATGCTCCAAGTCATTCAATTCCTTCTGGATTTCTCACTACAGACATGTTTGACTATTTTTGTCTTTCTGCCAAAGCTAGCACTCCGGCTTATAGCTCTGATGAATGGAGCCCTATGGAGACCTCCCAGTCAGCTGAACAGTGCAGCTCCTGATGAACCTGTCGCTCCTGATGAACCTGTTGCTCCTGACCAACCTGTTGCTCCTGACCAACCTGTTGCTCCCCACCAACCTATGGCTCACCACCAACCGGACACACTATTCCTGCATGGCGAGATTCTACCACACACCAGCGCATTTGGTGTCTTGGTCTCAGACGCCTACCAACACTTCCTAGCCTGCCACCCAGCAATGAATCATTTGGCCAAGATGACTTTATATGCCTTGGTTACCAATCCAAGCATGGAGGACATCAATGAACGCATCAAAGAGATCAAGAGTTACCTTCACTCACACTTCCCCGCTATACAAGTAGTGACACTAGAAGACTCTTATGGTGAAACTCCTATGCCTGAAACCTTCCCTGGATATAACCAGGGCCCTTTCCTGAGTCTCTCTTCAGCTGAAAGGCAGACATGGCGACTGCAGTTTTCCCTTCACAGAGCTGACCTAAATGCTCAGGACTCTAGCCTTTTTTCTTCATCTGGTGATCATACACGAGTTGACTCATGTTGTCATGCTTGTATTCTCATCTGAACCCATGTCGGAAATTCCCATAGGTGCCTTGCAAGGCTTCTAAATTGAGACGTCATTTGACTGTATTGCATCCGTGATGGAAGACCTTTCCAAGGAAGTGTGACCTATTGAAAGCGTATTGAAAGCGAAGTGACCTATTCATAGCGTATTGGAAGGAAAGTGACCTTCTTTTGGTAACTTGCCAGGGAAATGACTGGGTCTTGCAAGTGGCTTACACTAGCAAGGTCAGATTTCAATCGCTTACGACTTATCTTCCATCCATCGATGATCTCTTCCTGAACGATACCTTTGCTTGTTTCATCTGTCTATGCTGTTTCTATATACCATCAATGGCTCCCCAAAGATCCACAGGAGGGCGCAAATATACCTGCTCTTCAGCATCATCTCTTAAGGTTGCTTGTCAGTATTGTAACGAACTGTATACATCCCGAGGCCTCAAATCACACGAGCAAAGCTGCTTGCGACGGAAGGAGAAGAAGAAAGAGGATAGAGAGTTTTCATGGGCCGCAGCCAGGTCAATTTTGAAGGAAGGAAAACATAGTATGTTTCAATGTTGTCTAAATTACCTTCAATCACTGATTATATTCAAAATCGTCAATTTTGATTTATCAGAACATCACAGCAATAAAGGGCGCACTCATGAGGCTGCCCGGGATACCACACTAGTCATTCAAGAGGCTGGTTCAGCAGCTGATTCTCCATCCGCAGCAGATTCACATTACCATTATGATGACGCAGGCCTTCAAGGCCTCGATGATGTGCAGAGTATCGGGGGAGATGCGCGGCTACGTATGTATTATTCTTTCTGTTTTGTTTCGACTAATATCTAAACATGATCCAGGTTCTGATTCTGATATCAGCATGGGTAGTAACATTCCTGCTCCAATTTCGGCAGCCACAGCAACTACCTCAGATCGTCTCGACACATTCAAGACTGAATATCACCCTCACAGTGGTCGCGCTCCGATCATCGAGAGCTTTTCCGTTTATGGGACCAATAAGCCAGAGACGACACAATCACCCATCATCGATGACGAGCCATGGCAACCTTTCAGCTGTCGTGCAGACTTTGAGTTTGCTGAACTCGCCCACCGAGCTGCCTTGAGCAAAGACCAAACTAATGAACTACTCAAGTTCATCTGGAGAGTTGCGGATGGTCGCACGAAGTTTACTTTCAAAACTCACAACGACGTGTCAGCTGCATGGACGAGGGCATCCAGCCAACTGACTCCTGTAAGAGCAATAGCATAATGTCACACCCGCATATATATATGACCATGTTGTAACAGTTTGAAAGACATGTTGTACCTGTTGAGTATAAGAAGGAAAACATTGAGTATGAAGTATATTCACGACCACTATGGGACTGGGCATTGGACCTCTTGGATAACCCCTTGCTAGCACCGCATTTCGTTTGGGATGCCCAGCGACTGTACAAACATGACGGAACCGATTTTGAACGCTTCTTCCACGAGCCGTGGACAGGAGATCGCTGGTGGAACTTACAAGTGAGCTTTTCAGTTTTCTTATGACGGACGTTGTGACTAATTAAAGTGTACAATCAAGACATCTTTACCCCATAATGGTGCGCCATTCGCATTTATACTGTATGCTGACAAAATGCACCTTTCGTCGGCCGGTACTGTCAAGGCATACCCAGTAATCGCACGCTGTGGGAATCTGCCTGTTGAAATCAGGAATGTTGATGGTCCTGGAGGAGGACGCTTAGTGGGTTGGTTGCCAATAGTAAGTCCTTGCGATACTTGAAGACGTCAATTCACACTTAATCATTTCGCCCTTGTGGCAGGTTCCTGCAGACTCAGACGAGGATGGCAAGCTGTCCTATACGAATTTAAAGAAGGTCGTATGGCACAAATCGTTCAAGATTCTCCTCGAAACCCTCAGTCTCATCTCCAAAACTGGCTTCGCGCACCAATGCTATGATGGAATTCTACGCTGGTTATTTCCACTAATACTGATTTTATCTGCCGATTACGAAGAGCAGTACGTGATTAGTAGATTCACATTGTTTCTGTTACTTACTATGTTATCAGGTGTGTGATGGCCCTGATACGAGGGTTCAACTCTGCATGTCCCTGCCCTATTTGCCTTGTCCCGAAGGACAAGCTCACCGACCATTCTACGATATACCCTACCCGCATCATTGATGATGCACAAGCTTGTGTCCGATTATGGAACATGGACCGTACCGCTGGTGAGGCAGCACTAAAAAAGCAGAGTCTAAGGCCTGTCGATGTGAGTGATTCATTCAACTTTCTCGCTCTCGAATCTAAATGGTCTCATAACCATCAGAACTCTTTATGGATTGTCGAACGGTCCAGCCCGCATGACGCACTCTCGCAAGATACCTTGCACGCTTACGACAGTGGTTTGTTTGGCGATCACATGTTTGAGGAAGTCAAGGACCACCTGAAAACACTGGGACGTACTGCTGAGAAGACGACTGATGACCAGTGAGTCTCTTTACATCCTCATTTTGCCCTCGTCTTGTAGTTTGTTCATTCTATAGGTTTGCTGCGTTTCCAAGATGGCGGAACCTAAACCACTTCGACCACGTTACAAACATCAGTTTTTCCGATGGCAACAAGTACCTGGATATATCTAAGGTACGTTTTCGAGCGCTATATCAAATGTAAGCTATGACTGACATATTTCTTGTTTTGATAGCAAATATTGTATACAACACAGAACGTGCTCACCCGCAAAGATGACGAAGCTGGTTATGCGCTTCTAAAGTGCATAGCCAGCTATCTTCATGCCTACATGTATATAACATTTGACGTTCACACAGAAAGCACTATCGCAGCTGGGGAGGCCGAGATTCTCGTTTTCCAGAAGTGCTTAGATGTAAGTCCTAGTATCTAGACCAACTTATGCGCTACTTGACACTAATACTTCAAACAGGAATATATCGAAATTCTTGGTGACGAAGCGACAAAAAACTGGAATTTTCCGAAGGCGCACTCAATGAGGCACATATTTTCTGACATTAGGGCAAAAGGAGCTGCGCGAAACTTTAGTACGCGGCCAAATGAGAAGCATCATGGGCCTATCAAGAGGGCCTATAAACTGCAAACAAATGGCAAAGATATCGCAAACCAGGTATGTTTGATCACACTTCACATTAATTGACTCATTGACAACCCCTGCTATCTAGATACTCAGGCTTGACCACACAACCTTCGTCTCTGTAGTCCTCCGCAACCGCATCAATCATTTCGATGATGAACGACGCAAGGCCATACTTTCGGAGAGAGAGCTTGAGACAGAGGACCTGGATGATCGGTCTTTTGGTGGACATATTCACCTTGGCGCTCCTCAGTCCGCAATAACCTTTGCACAGCTTGAAAACGACAATGTGTCCAACCGTGCCTTTGGGCAGTTCCGCAAAAAGCTCTCGACCTTCCTTAATCACGCTCTACCTGCATATAATATACCATTACCCGATGGCAAAACATGGCTGACGCTTTCAGCACAAGATACGGTCAGTAGTTCCATATTTCACTCCCACAAGTCGCCGTTTTTCACAAAATGTCTCCAGGTTCAAGAACACCGATATCTCAAAGTGAATTACGAGTCTGTTGTGGACTGGAAGCTCACTACAGACCACCTGCGCTGCAACCCGAGCTTTCATGGCCGTGAACGACGTGACTGTGCCCTTGTTCGCACCCAGGACAAAGATGGAAATAATAAGAACATTTTTGTTCGCATTTTATTCATGTTCAAGCAATCAATTGGCAGTCAAACATTGGATCTCGCCCTAGTTCAACCTATGGATGCTCCGACGGGCCCACAACATGCTGTAGATCGAGATTTGCGACTGAGACGTCTTCGTGCCCGACCACTCGCTTCGACGGAGTTTATCACGCTTCACTCAGTTATTCGTGGTGCATTACTTGTTCCAGACTTCGCTAGTACGAGGGGAGACTTTTTCCTCGTTGATTATGTGGACTCTGACATGTTCCTTTGTTCGCAGAGATATATGTTCTAATGGTATGTCCAACATTTACATTTATGACTATTGCAATAACAAGCCACGACATGAGCAGCACTCTCCTTCGTATCTCACCTGTATCATCCATTCCTCCTTCACCTCTAATACACAGCGCTCTCCCGTCCCATCTGTATCATCCATTTCTCCTTCACCTCTATCAAGAGCGCTCTCCATAGCTCGTCTCGTCACTGGACTCCCCGTCTTATCCGTATCATCCATTTCACCCCCACCTCTACCGAACAGCACTCTCCCGTCTCATATGTATCATCCATTTCTCCTTCACCTCTATCACACGGCGCTCTTAGACTCCCATTGCCTCCGCAACTCATATATTCACCAAACTCCAATTGTATTACCATCTTCGACGTAATAAGAATGCCCTGTCGACGTCGCATGCTTTGTATTACATGGTGCGTCCCCATTGAGTAGTAGGTCCATTCTAATTCCACAGCTAATATCACTCGTGTTCAGGTTTTGTACGTATTGCAACATGCGGTACCCTCAAGGCCTGAATGTTTTATCAGCAGTAAGCGAATTTTGACTGATATAAACACGATGTATTACTGACGCTAAAAATCCTAGTCTCCCACCTCTATTCCGTATTCAACTTGAAGTCGTCTGCCATCATGCCATCAGCACACCGTCGCACAGAAACTATAGAGTCGAGCTCGGGCACCGATCGAGAGTTCTCGTCGGAATCGGATTCAGACGACTCAGATGCAGAGCTCATCCAGGTCCGCGCTGCGCTTGCTCCTGCACCTCCAGATGCGACATCTCAAGAGCTGCGCAAGGTAAGTCATTGTATTGCTAGAAAGTTCACATTTCTTATTACAGATCGTTACTACTAGGCCCTCGAGATCTCGCAGAGACTATTGCTCGACTTGCGTGGTAAATGCCGTGAGGCTATAAAGAAGAATGCGCTCCTTGAGGCTGCAGTACCTAAAGGCCGCAAGCGTCGTAACCTTACTTCAAATGATCTTGCGATGGCGGCCAAGGAAGACACCATACGAGCTCTTGGGAGGAAATACTCGATAACTCACTGCCTTTGGATCAACATCGAACTTTTCCCGCTGTCAGCTCGCACCTGTCCAGACATCGACCTCAATAGCAAGGAGCGTTGGCTTACAGGAGTCTCGATGGAGGATGGTGTGAGGGCCGAGCTCTTCAAGTTCATTCCTGAAGAAGAACGTGAATTGATGAGCTATCAAAACTTCGGATCTCAGGTATGCCTATCTATTGGTACATTCCAATTGTTTAATGACAATCAATGCAATAGTTTGGTAGGGGCGTCAGCAACGCTCGTTCCGAAATGGCATCCGATGTCAAGTCATGCGCAAGTGCAATCTTTGGTCTCAACGCGAGCATCTTCATACGAGGCTACAAACGAAATGAAGACCCTAACTGTCGCCCTCTTCTACTGAGCCCCCATGGAGAGTACACAAAGTTCGCGCCTGTGCTTTTTCCTAGACCTGATAATCCAGTACCGCATCAGTTGTTGAAAACTGCAAAGCTCGTGCAGGTACATCTCTTTTTGCTCAATACTTCAATATGGGCTAACACACTCGTATATGATTATAGGTCTTGAAAGTATCGCTCTTCGGCAAGTCGTCATTGGCACCTACAGGCGCTGCATCTTCTAGGACAAAAGCCAAGATCTGGAAATTGCGAGCTATAACGCCAGGTATGATTGCTGCTGCTGCTGTCGTGGTGAGTCCAAATCAGTTGTGTGGTTGTTAGAGTCACGACTTATTCTCATACAAGGCAATATTCCTACTCTCTGGTGATGCAGAACTCACTGAAATTGGTGACACTACGAAGATTCCGTACCGCGAATACCACAACTTCTACCGTCAGCGTTTACTGACTGGAGGTGCCTGGGCGCACCAGGTCATCGCATTCTTCAATGATGCTCTTTTCTCAGGAACTTCGTCTTATGTTCCCCCCTCTACTACTCTCAATGATGACGGACTGGGTCACACATGGGAAGAAGACTTCGATCGCGCAATAGAAGACGAATTAGCAGAACCAGTTGTTGATAATGGGACACCACCAATCCCGCCACAGCACGCTAATGATAATACTACTAGCGGTAGTGTCCAAGTCAATGAGCTACTACCTGCGTCTCACTATACTTCAGCTCCCTCAATTTCGGCTCCCCCTCCAGCTGTTGCAGCTCCCCCTGTTGCAGCTCCCCCTGTAGTAACAGCTCCTCCTGTCGTCAATATGGCTCGAAGTTCAGAATCCATCTCCACTGCAATGGAAGAGCTCAATCTCAGGCACAAGGATCCTGCTGAATCTGAGCTTCCTGCTCCAACTAAAGCACGCGCGGTACCGAAGGCACGGCGCAAAGGCAAGACAGCTGCGGAGGGTGAAGATGTTGTTGTAAGGCGGTCAGGCCGGAAGGGCAAATGAGGCGTCCTCGCTGCTCTATCATTGAAATTAGCTTGCATTAGTACAGACTTTCTATTGAAATACATGCTTTTGTCAACCGCGTATGGACTTCAAATGACTTGACGTGATTTCAACGAACTTCCATTAATGGATATATTAATACAAGGCCAAACAAATGTTGAAGTTTGTCTTCGCTTAGGCTTGCAACACTTCGCTTCAACCACAATCATCTCTCGTTTGTCTTAGAATTCCATCTTCAGAATCTCTCTAGCTTCTCTTCAATTTAATAAAACTCCTCAGTGGTAGCAACACCCTGGCCATCGATTATCATACACGCTGAACCTTCTCTTCGAACTCCTCAGTGGCGGCACTTGGGCCAGTGTGAATCTGACGCTCTCTGAACTCCCAACAATCAGCATGATGTCTGAACCTGACATCGAGGTGCGTTTGAATTGTTGAACTCTTCAGCCAAACTTATTATTAGTACTGACATTATGCATATTGATAGCTTGCCTCATTGACCCATCGACAAAACAAGGAGCGACTGTTTACCGTCAGATGTCTCTCATCTGCATCCTATGCCACTGCCACTCCCGTTTTTTCGAACAAACGGCACCAGGATGACCGGGGAGTCCTATCAATAGCCGGTATCGATTCCGTTTATGTACTTGATGCTGAAACGGTGCATATCACTCTCGCCGTGAATGCCTTGTCTCGTGTCGGTCTATTTGAGGTCAGCTTGTCTATCTATTCACATTTATTGTACTGATTCTTCTGCAGGATTTGCAAGCTTTTACTGACGGCAAACAGAGAAAGCAGACTCCTCAAGTCCTGACCGCGATCCACGGCAAACAGAGAAAGCAGACTCCTCAAGTCCTGACCGCGATCCACGACAAACAGAGAAAGCAGACTCCTCAAGTCCTGACCGCGATCCACGGCAAACAGAGAAAGCAGACTCCTCAAGTCCTGACCATGATCAACGGCAAACAGAGAAAGCAGACTCCTCAAGTCCTGACCGCGATCAATGTGGTTTTGACCTGGTGCAATGCCCTGGTAGAAGGTACGAAATATCAGAAAATCGGTATTTAGCAATTTGTACAATTTTTAAATTCAAATCGCTACCTTAAAAGAATCAGACAGTCCTTACAAGTTCTCGAAACGCTTGGAATGATATCATGTGACTTGCAATGACCTTCCAATGAGGGGTGTTTTTAGTTGTTTTCAAAATCGTGACCTTGCATTGGAATGGTCTTGGGACCGTCTTGGAAGAATATCTGTATCGCTTGCAAGCAGCTTCCATAATTTTCGGGATCCCTTGCAACTGGACCGCAATGCCACTGACAAATTGGGACCTTGCACGCTATTTTAAGATATGCCAACCAAAATTAGGAATTTCCGACACACACCTACAAAGTTCTATGGGAGTAGGCCTTTGGACTCACTCAATGGCCTTGGGCTTAACGCCAGGGGCCAGCAAGTTGAGCGTGGAGAGTCAGGTGCAAGCATGGAGCAGGTAATCACTGGAGGAGAAGTAGTCTTATTGATGCCACATGGTCGGCACATGGCTGACTGTGATCCCAACTCTGTGGATGTTGGTATTGTGGGTTCTACTTCCTTTCAGATGCTAGGTATGTTGATTGTATTACTGCAATTCACTAGCACATGAAAACAGCTGACATTACTACTAGCAAATTCTCCATTCTTGTCCGACATAGCCTCTGGGCAGTGGGACTTGATCTTGCAACTGCCCATGCAATCCATTCCAGATCATATGTCAGTTTCACGCCAGAAGATCAGCGGCAGTCAGATACGCAGGAACCGCACCCCATCATCTCCAAGTCTTTCTATACCTGCCACAACACCTGCGAATTGTCCTGGGATGCTGCTCATCAATCCAGATACATTTCCACCTTCTGGTGAGGGTCACACTGAATACCATAGAAGAATGGCAAGGATGGTGGTTGCTGCACGGGGGGCAACAGGAAGGCGAGACCTTGTTGCCTGGGTCTCTCAGTTACGCGGTTCCACCTCAGCAAAGCGTTAGTAAGCTATAAGTTTGCCAGTTTACCTTCAAGTTGGACTGTCCCTCCATGTTCCAAGATGACCTGTTTTTTGTATTTTATATCAGACTCTACCACCCATAACTTCGTTTAGTAGTATGTCATTCGCACAACATCAGAAGACGTAACTGAGTGGTGTTCAATTCCATGCAAGTAAGTAACTAATAATGTGGAATATAAATACATGAAGTGCATGATGGTTAGGGGGCGTTATGGTGTGCGACAAAGCAAAGTATAATAAATCAGCATAAATGAGGTGACGACCGACGGCAGATAGAAATTAATGTACCCCACGTGTCACAGGTAAGGCTCGAAGTCAGCTCAAGCCCTTACTTAGAACCCGCCCATTCCCATGCCGCCCATACCTCTGAGTCCCATGCCACAGCCATTTCCGTGCAGACATTCATGAAGTATGCCAACCATCTACCCAGACTCTACTACGTGCACCCTGTTAGCTGGGAACTTAAGTTCTGGATTATATGATGGGGCGCATGTTGGTGGTAACTCAATATACCACCCATCAAATATTTTGGAGTTCGGAATTCCATCATGCTGTTGATGATAGGATCTCAGGGACTTGTACTACGTGCGTATGTAGATGGCCAAGCCGCTTGAGCATAGTTTTCACATGCCTATAGCTCCTGGTGTATCACAGAGCTGGGGGCCGTCGGCCTACCAGGACACTTGAGGCAGTGTTCTTAATTTTCAGGATTGCGACAATTTATGATTGGCCTGAGGTAAGTGAGGATTTGGCTGCGTAAGCTGTGTAGGGCCAACCAGCGAGCTTCATATCACTGTGACCACATTCCAGCCGAGATCCCGCACCCCAAGTGTCATCGTCATGTGCTTGGATCATCAATCATTCCCTTCGCCATGTTCGATCACATAAGTCCGGTGCAGGTCGGTCGTGATAGGTCTCAAGAGTCTTGATAAGAAATTCACAAAATGCCGGTGCCATCACCTGTACATTCGACCCAAGCAATGGGACATACTACACGAGGTTGAGTTAGTCAACATTGATTGTATGGGCGTCACTGAGTGAATCATGTTTCTACCGTGACATGATTAAGCGTGAACACCTCTGTTTCAAGTTAGTTGTAGTATTAGCTGTTGTACGTTAGAACGGACTCAGATAGTGCTACAGTTCTTGTAGACTTTGTGTAAAGTAACCTAGCTAGTCACCTGCATCGACTGCTGAGCTGAAATTTGGGGAATATACATGTGCTATTAGTAGTAGTCTCGTGACTTTCATGATGCGAAGTTTTTGGCAGCATGTCAATAAGCCTGGGGCTCGAAAGAGGTTGCTCAAGAAGGCTCACACTGTTGATACACGAGGTGACGAGCGAAAACGGCGGGTTGCGCAGGCCAACTATGATAAGGAGCGGGTGAGGAAGAATAAGCAGCTGGATGTGCAGAGGAAGGGACGGCGGAATGCTGCCAAGGCTAAGCTCACTGCAGTAGTGCCTCGTTTGACCCTTGCGGAAGTCGAGAAGCTCCGCATCGACGAAATTAACCTGCAGATCCGGTGGCATCGACAGTTCGACAAGGATGTCCCTGCTGCAAAAAACACACCATCAGGAAAGGCAAAGAGAATTAAGGTGTTAATGGATGCAGTTGGGCGCTATGTACGAGGTGAAATGCACCCCAAAAACGACACGCAGGAGTCGATGGAGCAGTCAGACGGCAATGATGCTCAGGGGATGCCCAGATGTGAGGATGAGCATGATGATGAGTGACCTTTCCTTTTTGACTGTGGCTATTGAAGTTTCTTGTTATAATTGACAATACAGCATTTTATAGGTACTTACTAGGGGTTCACTGTGCGAACTTATGACCTTGCTCCGGAGAATTTTTAATTCGTGGGAAACGGGTTACACAACTTTTCGTCCTAGGACGAAAAATGCCGTCAAGGCAAAATAGACCAATGCAACATGCAGTATCTCGTTCTACAAGTACCCGATTGCCTTGTGCTTTTGACAGTTTGACACAAACACGACTTCCGAGCTCGCAGCCTCGCACTCCACAGAACAACTTTTTGCCATTCCTCCAAATCCCAAGATGAAATAAGTCGTGTCGGGCCCTTCTCGTGCTTCTTTTTTAAAACTACTGCCATGTTTATCGGATGTGAATCAGGTTCAGGCTGCGCGCTGAGCGGATCGAGCACTTAGCAAAGATATATAAGATGTCAGTGTGTGATGAATCCTTTTCTTACTCTGTGATCCCTTCCTAGCTTCTCAGGCCTGAAAAGGCGCGCTGACCGTGCGCGGTTTGTTTTCTATAGACCTGACCGTGGTCTTACAAGCCCCGTAGTCGCGACGGAGGGATCACTTCGAGTTTATTTTTCGGCGTCTGACTTTTGGTCTTTTGATCCTTATGTATAGCGTCTTTGGCTTTACAAAGGTCCTTACTTTGTGATCGGTATGCGTTCACTACAATAACATTTTCACCATCCACCTGCACCTGTTTCATGATCAAAATACTACCCTTTCGAGTGATATTTGTCTGGTCTCCGCACAAACTCGCCATATTCGTGGGAATCGGGTCACGCAAATTTTCGACCCAGGACGACAAATGCCAAATAGACCAACGCAGGATCTAGCCGCTCTGTCATCGTGCTTAGAACTACTTTTTGCCATTCCTGTTCAAAAAATATCTTATGTCGCTCAGTGTCATTACAGGCCTCGTTGGACATCAAAAATCTGTGTCACTGAATTGTAAACCCACTGTCAACCAACAGTCTACCAGGAGCCCCTCGGAGGATGCAAGGTTAGGGGTCTGTTGAATTGTCACTGATACTCATCCGCACTGTAGTATTTCAGAACCACGATGTGACTACAACCATTTTGGACAGCCTCAGGATATCGGATATAGTCGCAATGAGCCGTACTTGTCGGTGCATGAGAGTGTTGGGCCATGAGGTGGTTCGGAGAAGATTGACACGGCTGTTGGAACCATTCGCAAGGCATTGTTTGTCGACTTTCCTCTCAGCCCTGAAGGACGCTGAGGGTGTGATAACTGGTTCCACTGTACGGGCCATGGTGGAACACGACGAGGACTACATCAGAAGGGATCTCAACATCATTGTCCCATACCGAGCATTTGCCGCCTTACACGGAGCAGTGGAGGACATGTTGGGATTTACACCCATCTCGAGTGTACCCCATCCAGCTCTGGCACCTAGCATCGGCAGATTTTGCAGATATGCATGTCATGAGCGATTTATTACGCTGTCTGCATCACATGAAGGGGAGTCTGTCCTACATATCATTCTTAATGCCCCAACGACTGCGGATATGCTGTTCATGACCACTGGTGGAGTGTGTTACTTTTATCCCCGATGGTTTGAAGGTCGGTTGGCGATTCAAGGCCACACTGGAGATTTAGTACCACAAAATAAAAAATTGGGATGTGCCGGTGAACTGAATGATGAGTTTGAAGTGGAGACAGGAACAGCCTGGCTTGGGAGGTCCTGTGGCAATCTGTGTCCTACATACTGGCACCATGTCGAAGAGAGACACCTCCGGGCATCCATCGATTGGAATGCAGAAGATTCTGTAACCAACGTGTTCCACAACATCGACATCGAATGGCGGTTGAATACGGTGTGCATCAATCCGAAATGTCCACATCGTGTAGAGGTGATGTCGCTGAACTTTGAAGGTGTTGGTGCGCGCAACCGTGAGTTTCCTCTCAAACATCAAAATTCGAGGGAAGGACTGACTTGATGAAAAAGGTAATGATGTTAAATTCATCCCGCCTGAGATACGATGTCGCAAACCGGTGAGCAAGGATATGGGCATTTGCTAGATGATGCTAACCTAGAAACGCCACGAGCGGTTTAAACAGATAATCAAGGGTGTATTCTATGGAGCAGGCTGCTACCGGCCGTTCCTTGTGCCCATTCCAGTGCGAGACGGGGTGGAAAGGTCCCCCACACTGGACGACCTCGACATGAGCTATTGGGTGAAACAGCAGGACCTGTACGAATGCACAGTGACACGACGCCACCTTCGTCGCACCTTCAGCGGAGTGCCCGGGTTCAATGTGACCATGGATGGAAAGTATACGTTGTACTTTGAAAAACGTCAGCCTTCGATGGCTCCAAGCTGCGTCCTTAGAAGAATGGGCAGCATGGGTGGCTGTTGAGAGGCGCTTCATGGGAGCGTGGTACTTGTCAAGCAAACAAGAGACACTCCAAACATCATGCCAATCAGAAGACAGAACACATCAAACGTGCACGATTGACTGTTCCCACCCCTCCTCTTGACTCAGCATATGATTCGTTTCTTCAGGATGTCGATGAAATGGTGAAAGAGAAATGTCTAGCCAATTTCATTGATCGCACAGGAAACGTACCACTTCACAAAGTCACCTGCGTTGTTTGTGCTGGCGAGTACTTCTCTTCGGAAACTGAACTTGTCGACATCGCCAATCTTTCCAACCTTCATCTTCTTGTGCCTTCAATACAATGTCGCCATCCCGCTCAAGAGACTTTTAAATCCATGTTATTGTATATGCCTGCCTTGATCAATCCCAATGGCGTTCCCAGTGGTCATGTTTGTTCGGCGTGCATGCATGATTTGCACCACAATCAAGTGCCGTCTCATGCGTTGGCTAATGGTCTTTGGGTTGGAGAGGTTCCACCAGAACTGGGCATTCTCACTTTGCCAGAACGCCTTCTTATAGGTCTTCATTTCCTGGCAGCTTTCGTTATCAAATTGTACCCTCAAAAAAAGGGAGCCAAAAACTGGGATACATCAGCTCTGAACACCGGCATGCATGGCAATGTCTCGACCTACCGTCTCAATACTCAAGACATTTGTGCCATGATCGAAGGCAATTTGTTTCCTCGATCACCTGACATCCTGTCAGCTACCATCGGAGTCAGTATCATAGGCCCAAACAATCTACCTGCTCGTTGTCTACCATCCATCCTTTTTGTCAATCGACTGCGTGTGTGAGCTGCTTTGTCATTTTTAAAACAGCACAATCATCTTTACCAAGGCATTGTCATTTCCGACGAAATACTTCAGCGTCTGCCTGAAAATGGTGTTCCTTCCGAATTATTGTCCATCATCAAGTTTTCGGCCGAGGTTGATTTACTGGAGCAAGAAAGAGAAGGATATGTTGTTGAAGATGAGGATGCAGAAGGTTTGTTTGCTCACATTCACTTTGTTCTTGTCTTCATAGTCATTTCACAGTCACTTCGTATTTCGACACTCATGTCAGCATACAAGATATAGTCGACGATGATCTAGAAAGTTCCCCAACGAGTCAGTATTCATGTTGAATAGCTTCTCTCTTGCTCAACGCCGGTCTGTGTCATCAGTGAACTCTAATGTCTTTCCTCTTCAAGCTCATGGTGTCGTTGATTCAGAGGTACAGGATTTACCCAACAATGAAGTACTGGCTCATGCTCTCGCCAATACTTCAGCTTGTGGCCACAAAGTATACGCAGTGAAATATGGGTCGGAATTCGTGAATGAATATGCCCGTCGTAATGCCACTGGCGATCGTACGAGTAGAGACTTTGCACACCTGAATCATCTTCTTGGAGCGTTTCCTTGCCTTTTTCCATATGGCATGGGAGGTTTTGAGATTGACCGCCCTCATTCTATCTCGTATGAGAACCAAGCGAAATGGACCATGAGATATGCGGACAAAAGGTTTAGGAAAGACATCCATTTCATGTTTCAAGTCTTTGGCGTCATACAAAAACGTCAAGTGTGTCGCACAGCTGTTCTTCAAGTGGAAAAGAAGGCCTTTCATGCGAACGAACAGGCTTTTCGATCTTTGACTTCGCAAGATTTGCTGTCAGCTAGTGTTGAAGAATCCAATCATCAGATGCATTCCAATCCTATAGTTCGATCTCTCAAACAACACGTCAATGCCGTTCGGACCAAGGTGATCGAAACCGATGAGTCTCGAACTAAGATACGTGCTTTAATCTGGGGTATGACGATGATAAAGAACCCTCCGTCATTGTGGATCACCATAAATCCCAGTGATACCCATGATCCTATTGCACAAGTGCTTCTGGGTGAAGAGATCAACATGGATGCTTTTGATGTCGATGGAGGTCCTGATTCGGCGCATCGTGCTATCAATATTGCGGTCGATCCATATGCAGCGGCACAATTCTTCCACTATACGATTCGCGTCATTCTCGAAGAAATGTTAGGCATCACAATAGCGAGCAATGGGCATATTAGTCACAAGAATGGCATCTTTGGGACCGTGGAAAGCTACATAGGCACTGTCGAAGCTCAAGGCCGAGGCACCCTTCATTTACATCTTATTGTTTGGTTGCAAGGTCTTTATATTTTTGTCTGTGTCGCACAATCTTTTGACTTCGCTTCAAACAGGCGCTCCTTCGTGTGCCAAAATGAAAGAGCTACTTCAATCAGATGCATTTCGAATCCGAGTGGCTGAATACATCGCTTCCAATATTCGAGCCAATCACAACAACATAACAGAGCAAACATTGGCTATTGTGCCACGTGAAAGAGCTGTATCGTATTCTCGCCCACCAGATCCTCGGTTGCCTTCATTTTCATCACAACGGCAACGAGTGGAAAAGCAATTGGTTCGTGCCGTTCAAATTCACAAATGCGGCCCAGGTTGTCTCAAGTCATGGTGAGGTTGATTGTTTTGCAAACGTCGAGCACCTTTTCCTGTTGCTGAAGAATCCTGGATCAATATCAATGGTGAATGGGGACCTCGGCGACTGTATCTGTTCATGAATAACTGGAACCC